GGGCTTTCTAGGTGCCTTCCCTTTCTCCTCTCTTGGCCATAGAGGGTTTCTGTGTATGTCATGCTCGGAGGTAGAAACTTCTCAGGCCAGCCCTGCTGCTATGTGGACCTCAACGAGTTCTCCTGCATGCATAGCATCTCCCGTTAAGAGTAGATTGAAGATAACAAGAAAGTTGGTAACCTTTGTTCTTTGTACTCGTTGTCATAAGGCGTCTCTTCTCCTGTTTAGGCTTACATCTTATGTGCAGCGAAAAATGATTTTCTTTGGGCATCATGCATTAGTATAAATATTCAATTATGTGCTGTCTTGTTTTGCCTTTTCAGGCCATCAGAATCCATGTCAATATCGCCAGTATTTATGTCACCACTTGGAAATAGCACTCGAAATATAACAAGAAAGTTGGTACCATTTTGTTGCTTTTTTGTTTTGTTGTGTATCTTGCATCTTCATCAATCATTGCACGAGAAACTACACTTTTCTAAACCATAAGATAGTCTTGATGTACAGTTGTTGTTGTCACTTTGGCATGTTACATTTAATGCATGTCCTTGCTTTCTTGAATTTGGTTGTCAAATCTTATATTATCACCATGTGTCTCAGGGCATTACGTCAAGCTTTGGTTGGGAAGGCTTATCTCAGTGCTTCTACAAATATATCTTCACAAAATAAGTGCAGATCTAAATTTAAGAAGATGTTGGTATCTTTACTTTATAATGATGTACTGATGTTAGCCGAACCGACACTGATGATAAAGAGTCTTATTTTGATGCATCTGGTTTCCTTGTATGTCTTGAAGGTTGACCCAATATTCTGTGACCCCCAAGGCTGTGAAAAGTGTGTCCCTTTCTGTTTCTTCGAAAAAGAGGAGTTATAGATTAACAAGAAAGTTGGTATCATTTATTTATAGCACCTTAATTTCGTTATTCTGGTTGGTTTCCATTTATTAAGTTTTACCTATTTCTCCTTTTTCACAGGGATCAAGGATTGCATAAGTTAGTGTTTGAGAGAGGGGGATTACCAGAGGGAACTGAACTAGGATACTATGCTCGTGGACAGGTAACTAACTACCTTATCCTCTGTGTGGTTATATGGTTCTATCCCTCTTCAGCTGGCCTTCTCTTTTAAGACATATATCACTGTGGGCAGAAATTGCTCGGAGGCTACAAAATGGGCGCTGGAATATATTGTTACTGTTGCAAGTCTGAGGTATTTTGGATATTATACAAACCACATCATACCCTATCAGTTAGTTCTTAATTTGGCATTTTGCGTGCAGGTGAGCCCCTCTCTGTTCGAAGCTCATGCAGGCTGGGCATCTCGTAGAAAACCGTGCGAATTTGCTCTTTTGTCTTTTGTTTATTGGTTTTGGTACATTCCCTTAGTGACTGATTATTCTCTATTTCTTGCAGTTATTTTTACATATATACATCTAATGGTGTATCTCTTCACGAATGGGCAACTACTTTCTCACAAGGTCGGAAATATTCTGCTAATGATAATAACGACTTGTGTGTTATTTGTGCTGATGGTGGAAATCTTTTGCTCTGCGATAGCTGCCCAAGAGCTTTCCACATAGGTAAAGCTGTACTTAATCAATTTTGCAGCATGCATTTTCCTTCTCTATCTCTCGAATAATTTTGCCTCTACTTCGGTACCTATACTTGTTGGTAAAAATTACATGTAGGATTAGTTTATTTCTATGATTAAAATTCTGTTATATAAATAGATATGTATATATCAACAAGCAGGATCATTTTGAGAACCTTTCCCATTTTTGTCACTTTGCTGCATTTCTGATCACGTCTCTTAAACAAGAGGGTCTGTTGACATTCTTATGTTTTTGATAACTCTGTTGAATTTTCAATCACTTTCACTCACATATCTGTCTGGTCAATGTAGAATGTGTTTCCCTTCCGAGTATACCTCGTGGTAACTGGCATTGCAAATACTGCGAGAATAAGTTCACGAGCGAAATTGCTGGAGAGTACAATGTCAATTCTTCTGCAGTTGGGCAACTAGAAGGAGTTGATCCTGTTGATCAGTCAGCTGGACGATGCATTCGCGTTGTCAAGAACATGGAAGCTGAAACAAATGGGTGTGTATTATGCAGGTAAATATTCTGACTGAGTCTAAATTCTTCTTCTTAATGTGTCTTATGCTTAAAAATTGTTTGACAACTCTGCCCTTAAAGTTTTATGGGTGTCACATGTACTGAGAGAATCAGGTCTATCTTAAATTACTTGTTTCGGAAGAACGCTAGGTCTCTTAAAAGTATGTTTCGATGGATCATTATGTCTATGTTAAAGTGTCTTAAGAGTAAAGGTTTTGATGTGATAGCTGCATTTTGTATTTATGTCTGGCCAATAGTAGATAGATAAAACTAAATAGGTATATATTTTTATAATCTTAGCTAATAAAAGATTTTGTCCGCAGTGGTTCTGATTTTTGTAGATCAGGATTTGGGCCACGGACAATCATAATATGTGATCAGGTACTTTCTTAATCATGACGCGATCTTAAATGAGATTATTCTGTAAATTTTATATCAAACTAATTATCTCTGTTTTGCAACAGTGTGAAAAGGAATACCACATTGGATGTTTGAGTAGTCAGAATATTGTGGATCTGAAGGTGACCACAACCCCAACTCACAATCTTCTGCGTTGGCATAGATTGGATCATTATCTTTAGTGTCTGCCCTGATGTCAACTTACCAGGGTAATATGATTTTCTTACAGGAATTACCTAAAGGAAACTGGTTTTGCTCCATGGACTGTACGAGGATCAACTCCACATTACAAAAGTTACTTCTTGGTGGGGCGGAGACGCTTTCAGATTCTTCTTTGGGAATAATACAGAGGAAGCAAGAGAGAACTGATGTATATTCCATCAGTGATCTTGACATCAGATGGAGACTGATCAGCGGCAAAGTTACTTCTCCTGAAAGCCGAATGTTACTGTCTCAGGCATTGGCTATTTTTCATGTAAGTGCCTCTGCATTTCAATATTTAGAATTACAACTTATGTGATAGCAATTAATTTGTTTTGATTTGATAATTAGTACTGTTAAACAAAGGACAAATCTGTTTAGCACATGGCTGATTCTCTTTCCATTTAATCTTGTCCGGAAAATTATGGGGCAGGGTAACTAGCAAAATGCTGTACATAATACACAAAAGGCCAAGGAAGGTTGAATAGGTCTACATTATCCTAAAGTATAGTAACTTAAAACTTGAATCATGTATATATATGAAATAAATGATCATCTTGATTTATGTACAAATGTCTCGAAATGCAGAAGCTTATATCTCTCTCTCTGCATTTTTAGTGGAATCATATGACAAACATTTTCTCTCAATAGAAATTTGCTAAACTCTACCATCGTGCCCTAAGTTTATGCGGTGTCTTTCTTACAGGATTGCTTTGATCCTATAGTTGATCCACTTTCTGGGCGCAATCTTATTCCGAGAATGGTTTACGGGTGAGGACTCTTCCATCAATGCCCTCTTCAAATAGCCTGACTTTGAAATACTATCAATAACAATCACAAGTGCATTTTTCGTTTAGGAAGACTATGCAAGGACAAGACTACGGGGGAATCTGCTGTGCTGTTTTGACTGTTAAGTAAGATCTCTTCCCTGTCGCTATCTAACCAGAGGGCAGATTTATATTGCGGTTAAGCATTGATTTGGCTTGTATACAGTGCGACTGTTGTTTCTGCTGGACTACTAAGAGTATTTGGCCGAGAGGTTGCAGAACTTCCATTAGTTGCAACACGCATGTGCAGCCGAGAAAAGGTAATGTCTTTGTGTCTCTTGAAAAACCATATCTAGATGAAAAATACCGTTTCCCAATTGACTTAAAGAGGTTCCTTCCTTAATTTCATGGGGTTTTATACAAAACAGGGCTACTTTCAATTGCTCTTTTCCTGCATTGAGAAGCTACTCTCATCCCTGAATGTTGAAAGCATCGTGGTTCCAGCAGCTGAAGAGGCAGAGCCTTTATGGATGAACAAATTTGGGTTCAGAAAACTTGCACCTGAACAGGTAAAGCGATGAATTTGACTCGTTTGTGAATTGTGTAGTTTTTGAAATTTGTTCCAGGAGAATCTCACATCAGTTAAACACTCTTTGTTGCTACAGCTCAGTAAGTATATAAAGATATGCTACCAAATGGTGAGGTTCAAAGGAGCATCCATGCTGCAGAAACCAGTGCATGCACACCAAATCATTGACAAGAAAATCGAAACCAGTGTATCTTTAGAAGAAAATTTTGATATGAAACAAGCCAATGAGTTGTATGTGCATCCTTTGTGTTGAGGTAAAGCAAGTCACGGATTTGGTGAAAGATGGATTAAAGAGTGAAGTGTTTAGGTTTTAAATGACTTCTTACAACAGAGAGACTTGTGTAAATTTTTGTAGATGCTAAGCTCTTTTTTTTTACCTCTCGTTCTTTTTGGGAACAAAAAATTTCGTTTCTACCAATATGTTTATTTTAGAGATAATAAGAAAAATGTTTTTCTTTGGATTCTAATATCAAGATTGTTTCTTTCAATTTATGTTTGTGTTATCTATTAATTCAAATGTGAAAACAAAATTGAGTAGAATCAAATTAAATTAAATATTAGTACGTAGTACAAACCACAAAATGCTATCTCTCTACGTAAATGCCCCAGAGGTAGATATCAGAAGATGATGCCATACTTAAATTTTTCAAAAGAACTGATCATAATTACATTGTTGCAGAGAATCATAATATCTCTCAATAGCGACATGTTAAAAAGAAAAAAAGTTTACTTTATAGAGGGAGCTGAGCTACTAAAAATGTATGTAAAAACAAATGTCAAAGATTAGTCTTAAGACTTGGTGCTTAGCTTTGACTTTACATGAACAGAAATGGTCCAAAATATACATGTATTTACATGAATACCATAGGAAAAATAAATACCAACATTTACTCTCAAACTCCTCTTCCTCACATCTTTGTATCTCTCTCTCTGAACTAGCTAAGAATCATGTCAATTTTTCTCATTGTTCTCCTCTCCCTCTCTACAATCCATATCTCTTCTTCATCTGAATCTTCCTTCACTTCAACAACAAGAACCTGTTCTAAACATGGAGAGTTAGCTTTCTTTGGAAACCATCATAACTTACCAGACAATTCTCTTGTGATCACTGTTGATCCGAATGGACATGGTAACTTCACCAAAGTTCAAAACGCCATTGATGCTGTACCTGATTTAAGCTCTTCCAAGACTCTCATCATCATCAATTCAGGAGTTTACAGGTTGTTACTCAACTTTATAACACATGTTCTTTATGTTCTCTGTTCTAGACTTCTATTGATGCATGGTTTCACTGGAAAAACAGGGAAAAGGTTATGGTTAGTGTAAACAAGACAAACATTATGATGAAAGGCAGAGGATATCAAAGAACGATTATTGAGTGGAATGATACTTCTCGTTCATCAGGAAGAACTCAAGATAGCTACTCTTTTGGTATATTTGCAGCAAATTTCGTTGCTTATAATATCAGCTTCAAGGTAAACATATCTAGATCTCTCAAGTTATAACCTAATTCGTTTGTATTGTTGAGTTCTCATATGTTTTGTTATAACCAGTCTTAAGAGAGCCTAGTTCGTTTATATATACTGTTGAGTTCTCATATGTTTTGTTATAACCAGTCTTAAGAGCCTAATTCGTTTATATTGTTAAGTTCTCATATGTTTTGTTATAACCAGTCTTAAGAGCCTAGTTTGTTTATATTGTTGAGTTCTCATAAGTTTTGTTATAACCAGTCTTAAGAGCCTAATTCGTTTCATATGTTTTGTTATAACCAGTCTTCTTCAGAGCCTAATTCGTTTATATTGTTGAGTTCTCATATGTTTTGTTATAACCAGTCTTAAGAGCCTAGTTCGTCTATATTGTTGAGTTCTCATATATTTTGTTATAACCAGTCTTAAGAGCCTAATTCGTTTATATTGTTGAGTTCTCATATGTTTTGTTATAACCAGTCTTAAGAGCCTAGTTCGTTTATATTGTTGAGTTCTCATATTTGTTGTTATAACCTTTGCCTTAAAAGAACCAAACTCGTGATATGTTATGAGTTCTCACTTGTTCTTTTCTTAAGGATGAGTTCTAACATTTTTGTTATAATCATTGTCTGAATAACCTAATTCGTTTAGATGTGGAATTTATTAGTGATGATATATATGTTAAGTAAGATTTGATTGACTCAAATCTCTCCTCCATATATATTCTCATTTACTATATGCATATTGTATATTGGTTTCCTTATCTCTGAATACTCTGTTTGTACCGCATCTCTCAATAATACATATCAAATCTTCCTTCACTTAAATCTCTTCTCTGTTTTTGATGCGAGGAAGAACTATGCTCCAGAACCTGAACCCGGTGTTGAAGGTGCACAAGCTGTAGCCATTAGAATTGATGGAGATCAAGCAGCATTCTATGGGTGTGGATTCTACAGTGCTCAAGACACCGTCTTGGATAGCAATGGAAGGCATTACTTCAAGCAATGCGTCATCCAAGGCTCCATTGACTTCATATATGGCAAAGGAAGATCGCTGTATGATGAATGCTTAATAAGGTCTATAGCCAAAGAGAGTACCTCAGGGATTAGTGGAATCATTACAGCTCAGGGAAGGGAATCAATTGATGAGAAGTCTGGATTTTCTTTCTTAAAGTGTAAGATAGAGGGAACCGGGAAGGTGTGGCTTGGGCGACCCTGGAGAGCCTATGCAACTGTGGTTTTCTCTCAAACTTACATGTCTCGAATCATCTCTCCCGAGGGATGGAATGACTGGGGAAATCTGACCCGAGACAAGTAAGTGTGGTAACTTTCATTCCAAGTCATATACTACATATTGTGAATTATGCTTAAATGGGTTTTATTTTCAGGACTGTGACTTTTGGAGAGCATAGATGCTATGGAGAAGGATCTGATTACAAAGGGAGGGTTCCATATGCGAAACAACTAACAGATTCAGAAGCATCTTCATTCACAGACATTTCCTACATTGATGGAGATCAGTGGCTGAATGGAACTAAGATACCATCCGAGCTAAACATTGAAGAACACGAAGACAATCTTATCAGTTCTTACTGAATTATGTAAGGATTCTAATGCCTAGATGCATAGACCAAAGACAATGTCAAAGAAATATGGTCTTATTAGATTACTTTAAGTTAAGACATGAAGAGTCAGTTGCTTGTTGGAAATGAAGTTAGAGACCAAAGCAGAGTATCTATCTAATTATTCCACATCTTTGATTTATATATGCATATCAAAAGAAAAAGTGAAACTGTTGAGGTTCAAAGTCACTACTATAACCTGCGTTATTTAGATCATGTTATAGGGCCGTTCCACATCTACAGACTACAATATATATCTTTGTATGTCTACCATGAAGGGTCATTGAGGGAAGCCTATGTATGCATCTGTGGTTCCATAGTTTGGAATCAAATAAAACATTGAGCATAGACTTTTGACACAGCAACAATGTGTGCAATCAGGAGAGGCAGAACAAAACATTCTTGTCTACTTAGCAAACCATCAATGCTATAACATTTTTGTCAAACCAAAGTTCTTATTATGCATTCTTATGTACATATAAACTAAAGTTCTCATTATGCATTCTTATGTACTTAAAAACCAAAGTTCTTATTATGCATTCTTATCTTTGTGTCACAAATATATGATGTAAAAAGACAAAAGACATGATTGCTTCCAGTTGTAAGTAACTCTATCAAGTTCTCTCCTGGTCTCTTAAAGATGAAAACTCGTTCATCAATTTTGTCAAGTTTTTCACCAACGCTCTGCACATTGATTGGTGTCACACGTGATTTACAAGTTTTATGTTCAGAAAGAAAAACAATGGACATTCCTTTGCTGTTTTCTATTCTCTGCAGTCTGAAAACAGAACCTTTACATTAGGGTGTAATTTCCTGTAGAAACTAGCTCGATTGTCTCATCTCCATTCAAGCAAACACCAAAGAAGACCAAGATTTTGAATTCAGAATATGACCATCCTTTGAAAAGTTTAATGTTTTTGCCATAAAGGTAATCTCAAGAAGATATTTGCTATTGAGAGTTGAGACACATATGGGGCAAACCGAGTAGCCCAGAAGCAAGACACAGACAGCCACTTTACACAGATTTTTTCATTAGTGTAATAATTTAACATAAATCAGACCACCACCACAAGAGAGAAGAGCACGACCATGTGTAAGTATGAACACTGTATTATTTCCTCACTTATAACCAAAATAACCAAATGTCCTTCGTTATATTTGTCAAAATTAAAGAAAAAATTTGCAAAATTGAACCAAATTTCATTAAATAAATTGCACAATAATTTTTTGTAAGACCCTTTTGTATTTTGTTTGGTTTCAAAATTGTGGTGTTTTTGTATACGCACACTCCACTTGTAATTTGTAGTAGGAAAATACTCTGTTATTGAACAGTTTCTATTTTACAATTTGAATTACTTTTCTTTATTTTCAGAAATATATATCTATAGGGTTGTTGAATTGATGGAGATTTATGAGCTAGACAAGAAAGAGATTGATTTATGAATAACAATATACAGGGAAGAAGAGAATATATTGAAAAGGATATTAGATAATACTGGGAGATTGAGACTAGAGTCTAGAGCATTGAGCAAATGTTATTGACTTATTGATGACACTATAGATCTTTCATGTGGATCAGAGAGAACATAGTACAAAGATCTTAATCATTAATCATTTCAACGAGCATTCATAGAGGAGGCAATGTTGCACCAGGTGAAGGAGACGGTGCTCCACCTTTTCGTAGCGGCGGACAGTCTCTGAGGCAATTTTCTGGTTCAAATTCAGGGAAGCAAATGGAAGGATCTTCGATACAACACAAAAACTCTTCTGGAAATGGCTCTCCCATAAATCTAACAAAACATCTTTCTATTCCTTTCGGATCAGGAGGATATATTTGACGACCTACATTAATCATTATCCCAAAATATAAAATAATCATGGTGAATTGAATTCATTGAGACTAATGATATAGAAGTGTAATATTACGACGTCCTTAACGCCTACATTTGAATACGTATGCATTTAGATTCTCTAGCAAACCAAACCAGCATCATTCGCTGACAAATTTAAATATGAATCGAATCATGACAAATTGACAAGATTGATCAAATTCTTACATTGGTGAAGACCAAAGAGAGAGACAAATATGAGAACCATAACCAAACTCTTGCAAACCATCATCCTTCGCTCTTCCCAACTCTTTCAATTTTCTTATGATTTGTGTTTGTTTCCACTTTCGCATAGTCATTGGGAGTTATATAGGAGAGAATCCATCACATAAATGTTAATTTTATTTTCCAAAAAACAAAATCTCTAAAAATTTAATTTCATAGATATATTTCCTTTACTTGGTTACTTTTATTTTCTATTTTCCCTTTCTTGGCAATCATGTCTATATTTCTCATAATTTTCCTTTATTTTTTCTGGTAACATATATTTCATAGAAATTTGTTTACGTTTCAAGAAATTGAAATATGACTAAAAGATAAATATTTAAACGGTTTACCAAAAATAGATATTTATGCATTTTGAGCGGGAGATTCATCTAGGCCCATCTGCCATAACTATTGAAGAAGACTTTGATATTGGGCCTATAGAATGTGACCGAGGCCCATAGACGGCCCCGACGGTGACACGAACCCTCCGTCAAACGACGAACCGCCGTTGCCTCTTCCTCGAAGCTCCATTTCTGATAGCAACCTCCGCACACTCCGGCTACTTCTCTGGCGAATCCGATCGCATCCTCCGACGAGAATCTTTGCATCTTCCTGCGACATTCTCCGACGCCGTTAACTTCTCTCAGGTATTCCCAAAAACTCTGGTTTCATCTTCTCTCAAGTTGGTACCATTTTGTTGCTTCATCAATCATTGCATGAGAAACTACACTTTTCTAAACCATATGATATGACTTGATTTACAATGTTGGTTGTCGCTTTGGCATGTCCTTGCTTTTAGATCTTTGGTTACCAAATCTTGAATTATCACCTTGCGTCTCAGGGCATTATGTCAAACACTTCTGCTCAACAGATCTGTCAGGTCTATGTAGAATGCGTTTCTCTTCCAAGTATGCCTCGTGTTAACTGGCATTGCAAATACTGCGAGAAAAAGTCCATGAGCGAAACTGCTGAAGATTACAATGTTAAATTGTTCTGCATTTGGGCAACTAGAAGGAGTTGATCCTGTTGAATGATCACTTAGCTGGACGATGCATTCATGTTGTCAAGAACATGGAAGCTAAAACATATGTGTGTGTATTATGCAGGTAATCATTCTGAGTGTGTCTAAATTCTTCCTCTTAATGTGTTGTATGCCTAAAATTGTTTGACAACTCTGTCTGAAAGGTTCACCTGTACTGAGACAATCAGGTCTATCTTAGATTACTTGTTTACCGCTAGGTCTCTCTAAAGTATTACCTGTTTTGATGGACCATTAGGTTTATGTTAAAGTGTCTTCAAAGCACAGGTTTTGATGTTGTATCTTCGTTTTCTATTTATATGATGCTCTGACAGGAATGACCTAAAGGAAATCTGTTTGGATATACCATTAGATTTGCTTTCAGATTCTTCTTTGGGAATAATACAGATGAAGCAAGAGATAACTGGTGTAGATTCCACCAGTGATCTTGACATCATATGAAGCAAGAGAGAACTGATGTAGATTCCACCAGTGATCTTGACATCAGATCAGCGGCAAAGTTACTTCTCCTGAAACCCAAATGTTACTGTCTCAGGCATTGGCTAGTTTTCATGTAAGTGCCTCTGCAGTTCGAATTTAGAATTAGAACTTTGTTATAGCAATTATTTTGTTTCGTTTTGATAATTGACGAATTGGTTTAGCTCATAATATACAAGATTCTCTTTCCATTTAAGTTTCGCCGTAAAATTATGGGGCCACACAAAAGGCCAAGGAAGGTTGCATTGCATCGGTCTACATTAGCGTAAAGTATAGCAACTTAAAACTTGAATCATGTATGTATATGAAATAAATTATCATCTTGATTTGGTTAGTATGTACAAATATGTCTATTTCTATGCCTACTAATACAAGTTGAACCAAAGTAGGGGCATAACCTTGAATAACAAGTACCCTCTTCTAGGAAATTTGTATAATTTCGAAATGCAGAAGCTTATTGCGTTAGCTTTATATCCCTCTGCATTTTTAGTGGAATCATATCACAAACATTTTCCCTCCATAAATATCGCTCTAATCAACTGGAATTTGCTAATCTCTGTCATCGTACCCTAAGTTTGTGCAGTCTCTTTCTTACAGGATTACTTTGGTCCTATCTATAGTTGATCCAATTTATTGGCACAATCTTATTCCGAGAATGGTGCACTGGTGAGGACTCTTCCATCAATGCCTGCTTCAAGTAGCCTGCCTTTGATCCTTATAACACTTTCAAATACTATCAATAAAAATCACATGTGCTTTTTTCGTTTAGGAAGACTATGCAGGGACGACTATGGGGGAATCTGCTGTGCTGCTATGACTGTTAAGTAAGATCTCTTCCCTGGCGCTATCTAACCAGAGACTATTTGTGTAATTGTGTATATATATATACTGCGAATAATCATTGATTTGGCTTTTTTCTGCTGCTAATTTATATAGTGCATCTGTTGTTTCTGCTGGACTTCCATTAGTTGCAACTCACATGCGCAGCCGAGAGAAGGTAATGTCTTCTTGTCTCTTTAAGAACCATATGTAGAAGATAAATTTTGTTTCCTAAAGGACTTAATTAAGAGGTTCATTGTTTAACCGAGTTTCGTTGCTACTTCCAATTGCTCGTTTTCTGCATTGAGAAGATACTCTCATTCCTGAATGTTGAAAGCATTGTTGTTCCAGGCTTCCAGCAGCTGAAGAGGCAGAGCCCTTATGGATGGGTTCAGAAAACTCGCATGTGACTCGTTTGTAAATTGTGTAGTTTCTGAAATTTGTCTCATGAAGATATTAAGATATGCTACCATATGGTGAGGTTCAAAGGAGCATATCCATGCTGCGGAAACCAGTCAATTGGCACCGAATCACTGACAATAAAATAGAAACCGGTGTGTATCTTAGAAGAAAATTTTGATTTGAAATTTGTAAGCAAGTCATGGATTTGGTGAAAGATGGATTAAAGAGTGAAGTGTTTAGGTTTTAAATGAGTTCTTACAACATATACTTGTGTATATTATTTGTAGATGTGAAGTTCTTTTATATTACATTGTAGGTTCACAATTTTTACCTGCTCTTCTTGGGAAACAAAAAATTTCGTACAAATCACAAGATGCCGCAATTATGTTTGTATTGAGTTTGATAATGGAAATTTGAAAGAGAGATATTTTTGTTGGATTAGCACATCTCTCTACGTAAATGCTAATGCATTTCACTAAGCCAACTTTACTAAAATTTTCACTAAGATAATGGAAATTTGAAAGAGAGATAATTTTGTTTTTTCTCAAACCATTCTTCATCAAAAAATTTAAGAAACTTTTAATCACCATTGCTCTTTCTATTCTTCTCCATCTTAGAAACACCAAAGTCTATAAACCATGTCTATCAAGATAATCTTCACTATCACAATTGCTTCTTTCTTCTCAACAATATCATCTCTCAAACCTCATTCTCGCTTTGCTCTTGTTTTCACCGTGGATTTACACGGTTCAGGGAACTTCATAAGTGTTCAGAGAGCTATCAATGCGGTTCCTAATTCAAGCAACTACAAGACCCTCATCATCGTCAAATCGGGAGTTTACAAGTAATTCTCTGTACAAACTTATGATATATCTCTTCATGTTATCTCTTTGTAGTATAATGTATGTTCCTTGGAAAAAAAAAAGAGAGAAGGTAAATGTAAGCGAGAAGAAAAAGAAACTTGTACTGCACGGAACTGATTATCAAAACACTGTAATCGAGTTGAACGACACTGCACAATCCTCACGAAACACTTTAAATAGCTACTCTTTTGATGTATTCGCGGCAAACTTTGTTGCTTACAACATTAGCTTTAAGGTAGAACCATCTTCAACAATCAAATATTATTTTATGAAACTCATTTGTTTAATGAGTTCTAATAGATACTCCCTCCGTTTTTGAATAGTTGTCGTTTTAGAGCTTTTTTTTGTTTTAAATTAGTTGTCGTTTTAAGATAATAATGTAATTTATGTCAATAACTACCCAAATTACCCTCATTTTATTGAACACAAATTATTTGTAAATAATTACTTGTCATTTTTATGAGGTTAATATAGTCATTGTATACCTTTTCTTACTTTGTCCAAATACAGTTAAAACGACAACTTTTAAAAAACAGAGAGAGTACTTTTTTTTGTTGGATTGGAAAAAAATTTTGCGCCGGAACCAAAACCTGGTATGGAAGGTTCACAAGCAGTAGCGCTAAGGGTTGATGGAGACCAAGCGGCTTTCTACAGTTTTGGATTCTATGGGGCTCAAGACACGCTCTTGGATAATCAAGGAAGACATTTTTTCAAAAACTGTTTTATCCAAGGATCCATTGATTTCATCTTCCGCAATGGAAGATCACTCTACAAGGTAAATATTCAAAAGACACGTAATAGAATTTCAAAATACGAGTTAACTCATTGAATTTGTAAGCAGGATTGTGTGTTAGATCCATAGCAAAGGAGAGTGCCTCAGGAATTAGTGGATGTCGCAAAGCACATGGAAAGAAATCAATAGATGAGAAGACAGGGTTCTCGTTTGTGACTGCAAGATATACGGAACAGGGAAGTTGTGGCTGGGACGAGCTTGGAAACCTTTTGCTACGGTCGTATTCTTGAACACGTACATGTCTGGAATAATATCTCCAGATGGATGGAATAATATGAGTGATCCAACTCGTGACAAGTAAGTTGACTACTAACTCTTATCAAATCAGCAACAAAATATCTCAAGTTATGTGCTAAATGGTTTTATTTTTCACAGGAAGGTGTACTTCAGAGAGCATAACTGCTCTGGAGACGGAGCAAATTATAAAAGGAGAGTTTCATACGCAAAACAACTAACCGATTATGAAGCCTATTTTTACAAAGATATCTCGCTTTGCTTTTGTTTTCACCATGGATTCACACGGTTCAGGGAACTTCACAAGTGTTCAGAGAGCTATCAATGATGTTCCTAATTCAAGAAAGTACAAGACCCTCATCATCGTCAAATCGGGTGTTTACATGTTCTCTGTACAAACTTATAATATATTTCTTCATGTTAACTCTTTGTAGTAATGTATGTTCCTTGCAAAAAAACAGAGAGAAGGTTAATGCTATCGAAACTTTAGCAGTGATCAGAGTGCTATCAATGTTGTCGATCCAGGCAATTTTTGAGCAAATGTTTTGAGCAATTTGAGCAAATATTAAGCATTTTTGCTAATTTATATTAACTTAATAGTTTATGACTATTTGAACAGTATTTTTCTATTGACTGAATTTTTATAATTAATAAAACATTCTTATTTTTTAATTTTTATGCTTTTAGCCAAAAAAAAAACTTATAAAATGGGACAAAATGAATATTTTCCTTTTTCTTAGCAGTCTTTTCTATAGTTGTTTTTTCTTTCTGGTCAACATATATATCCTTTGTTTGTGGTCAACATATTTTCATTTGTTTTAGACAAGTTCTTGAGAGTTGAGACAATCTCTAAAACACAAATAATTCTTTTACCATATCGACCACCCAAATGCTTGTAGACATATGTTTTGTGAAGTTTACAACCAAGGAACAGAGAGAATGGTTTGCTCAAAAAAAAAAAAAACACAGAGTGATTAAACGAAACGCTATCTAGACAAAAAAAAATATGTTATATCTTACTAACGCACTCGTCTTTACACAGACTACTCAGTCCATATCACTTTTTTAAACCATCCCACATTTAAAAACTCAAACTTGTACTTAACCTAAAACGACGTCGTTCGAGGCGCTTCACCTTTTTTTTTTTTTTTTGGTTAACAGAAACTGAGTATAACCAATTGGGCTGCTAAATGACCTATTGGGCTGAGAAAACTGCTAAATAAACTATTGGGCTACTAAATGATCTATTGGGCTGAGAAAACTGTAGTATAGCTTGGGCTGCTAAAAGAAAATGGTTTTTTAGTAAGTGAAGAAGGAAATCGAACCCATCAGTCCCTTGCTATCTAACTGTACTTAAACGGCTTGGGCTGAGAAAACTTTCGCTTTTTTTACTCTCTTCTTTTCTTGAGCCGGTGAAAAACTCAATTATTTTGACACTTGGTTATCCTATACACACATACATTGCTTTTATATAATACGATATCTCCAAATCTCTAGAACTTTTCATAAACAAATATGAAATTCTCGTGATTTTTTATTTTAAGTTTTGTATAGTTTGGTAATAATGTAGGTTTTTAATGAGAATTTCTCAAACAAAGTTTATTGAAAAGCAAATATTTAAAAACACAATGGATGCTTTTATTTAATTATTTTATTAGATTATAACAAAAATAAAAACACAAGATGAGTGTTAAAAGCGTCATGATTATTGTACAAGAAGACACCAACTCTCATATATATAGACCTGTAAAAGTCCAATACTCCCTCTGTATTTAAAAAAATGTCGTTTCAACTGTTTTTGGGTGAATTAAGAAAGGGCACAGAATTACAAAACTAACCTTATGAGAAACGATTATTTACAATTATATTTTTGGTATATGTAGTTTTGGTAATTTAGACTGATTAATTATGATCAATTAATTGGGGGTAATTTAGAAAATTTTATGCAAAAGTTGTTAAAATGACAACTAATTAAAAACACAGAAAAAAGGCTAGAACGACATTTATTCAAATACGGAGGGAGTACTTCTTAGTTGCACAAACTACAAAACCATACAATAGTCTATGTTATACCAATTAACCAAAATGGCGATATTTCATAAGAAGTTCAAGAAAAACAAAATTGGAATAATCAAAGAATCTTTTTTTTGGGTAAGGGACGATCGATCACTTGTGATGACAGTATCCGTCGAATGATGCCATATCTTCTTCCAACGACACTTTCGAAAGATTTTCGGTTGCGGTTTTTGGAAAAAAATTCACCGCCCATAACATAAGCTTCAAAGTTAAATTCTTTTTTGTAATTTTTATATGAGTTTTAATTGAATTACTTATTTCATGAAATTTTTTGAGTTAATTGTCTCATCTTAATAACATAGAAATATTTTTTTTTTTTGCTTTGAAATTAGATAATGGGAAGATAATTAAAGTTTGAAAGAATTTATCCTCTCTTTTATGATTTTTAATGAGATATTTTCTTCCTTCCATAGATAGTTTAAATTTGATAAAGTATCTAATAAAAAAAAAATTGTATGTTTTATAGTTTCTATTGAAAATCTCTTGCTTAGATAAAAGTTTGAGATATTATTTTCTTTGTTTTATGGTTTCTTCATTCGTAGGTAGTTTAGATTTAATAATATATCAAATAAAATTAAAAAGTTCTTTGTTTTATGGTATCTAATGAATTTTTTCTATGTTTTATGGTTTCTAATACTCTATGCAATATATCTAATTGAATTTTTCTTTCCTTCGTAGATAGTTAGTATTATAATGAACGTAGTATTTGACTTAATGTTTTTGTTTGTCATTTGCTTGGTATAAATAGACACGGCTCCCGCACCAAACCCTGGAGCATTCAGTGGACAAGCGGTAGCTAGCTTTTACGAGTTTATATTCGGTAATGGAAAATCGCTTTATGAGGTAACACAAAAAAAAAGCACAGCATTGTTGTTATTAATGTTCAAATATAGACTTTTACATGTAAATTAACAATTCGAAACCAAATATTTTTTTGTAGGATTGCACAATTCATTCGGTCACAAAAGAAAATACACTTGTTTGTATTACGGTAAATGGAAAGGGGTCATCAAAAAAGCGAACGGCATTCATTTTCGTGAATTGCAAGACTACAAGAAGCGTGAAAGTCTGGCTCGATCGGACGTGCATGGAGACCTTATGCAAGTGTTGTCTTCTCCAAAACATACATGTTTCTCTTGATGGGTGGAATGACATGGGAGATCACAAGACACAATGGTTAGTCAACATAAATCACAATGAACGAATTAATTGGATTGTGTATTACGGACTGAATTGATATGATTTTTTAGGACTGCGTATTACAGAGAGCATCAGTACTACATACCAGAAGCCAAACACAGTAAACGGGTTCCCTATGCGAAGCAACTCACCGATGTGGAAGCGGCTCCTTTCACTAACATCTCCTTTATCGATGGAGAGCAGCGGCTTTAGAGCATAGCAAGATTATTTCATGTTTTACTAATGAAAGTGGTCTATGTAAGACTAACATCTTATAAACATTAATTTTTTTCTTTATTTCCACCTAGATTTTCATAAACATATTTGTGGAAAGTATCTATAACGTATCCATATTATATTTGTTGGGTAGAAAGTAAAAGACATATCAGTTTTTATCTCCTAAAGTCTCATGCGGAAGAATCCTTTGTTTGTTGGCTCTATGTTTTCTCGATTAAAATTGAATGAACCTAACCTTGTAGTTGCTTCTTTCAAATTTTTTGAAATCACAAACATTCTCAATCTAGCATACAATTTGTCGAAATCACAAACTTCGGCTTTGTGCACCATATAACCATCTTTCTTTGTTCCAATGTGGATGATAACTAGATGCTTTGAGAATAAATATGTCTAGGTTTTTTTTTTTTTGCATATCTTAGATATGTTTTAAGTAAATGTTGAGCATCTTTTCTGCAAATTTCTTAGATAATATATGAATACTTACACCATATACGATATATGATATATGTGTATACTAATATACATACATATTCATTTATATGTTTATATATCAAATATGTATACAACTATAGTATAATTGATAATGCAACATAGCTTAATAATATAATTAATTCAGAAATATAAGAATAAATGTGGCTCATAAGTCATAAGAAATGAAAGAAATTGTTGATTGAAATACCAAAAGCATTTGTATGTTTTGAAGCTTTTACGCAAAATTGTTTGAATGTTTATGAAATCGCAATTTTCATAGTTACACTAAAGTAAATATTTTTTGTGTGTTAATTAGAATTTATTTTGATGGCTCTTCATTATAGAAAATATTGATGCAATTTACCTAATTTTAGGAAAGTCCTTTCACCAACATCTACATCATAGGCAAAAATGAGTTTTAGCACATATGAACTTAATGAAATGATTATGACTAGTTCATAGCTCGCATTCACGCTCAGATAAAATTATCATAAACATGTAACAGCCTTAATTGGATAAAAAGGATGTGAATTTAGTTTCATGTAAATAAGTATTGTTTTTGGTAGTTTGCAATTGGTACATATTATAAAATATAACAATTGGTACCAAAATCTATGTATGGATAATTTTAAAATTTTGAAGATAATAATCTAATCCTTGTTTAGGCTATTATGAGTAGTGTTAATATTTATTACAATTATTATAGTTGTAAGTGTTAAAGAAAATTCAAAATATCGTGTGTGATTGGTTGTAATCTTGTAGACTAAATTAGACATGACTTAAAGTCATATTAAAAAAAAAAAAAGTTAAAAGAATATATGGTCTATGATTTTCTTTTACTGGAACCTATGTTGCATGGAAACTCTCTTCGAGATCCGTTTCTCGTTTCCGAAACGTTTCGGAAACGGAAACTCTTCGGAAACACGAAAAACGTCACGGAAAAGCGTTTCCTAAAAATCCATGTTTGGAAACACGATGGAAACTCACGTTTCTAAAATGGAAACGCGACAAATCCTTTTTATTGACTTTGGAAACTTAATAAATAAAAATTGAAAAGATTAAAATTTATAGAGTAATACATATCACTAATTTTGGAAGACTCTGAGTTTTAAATTTTTTTTATCGACAAACTAGATTTGGAGGCATTTTTATATGATCTACGATGAAACTAATGAAAATGAGGATGAAAATGTTGGTCTAAATTAAATATTTGAACTTGAACCTTTTAATCTTTTTTTCTTTTAGAATTTTAGTTAACCTATTTAATATTTGATGTTTTGGACTTGTATTGTTTAATTAAACTATTTTTATAGTTTTATGTTAATGTTATATATATACATATATTATATATGTGTATACGTTTCCAAAACGTTTCCAATCCCTAATTTTAGAAAAAAATCGTTTCTCGTTTCCGAAACGTTTCGCTTCCACGTTTCCGTTTCCGTTTCCATGCAACATAGACTGGAACCCTGTTTTATTTTCTTTTTGTTTTAACTGGTTAATGACTATTTGACATGGAAAAGATATATATTCCTAGCTATTTGAAAATACTATTAAATAAAAATAGCTAAAAACTTGATTTAAATATATCTCTAGTCTCGTCTTTATATTTGTAGAAAATAATAATCATGTTCATGAGGAAGAAAGATATGGCTTGTGTATTTTGTTATTCTTTCTTATTAACCATATATATGACGTAATCTATAACACAATTTAATTCACCTTTTTCATTTTATTAACATTACTAAAAAAATGAAAATTTCATTTAATTTATATGGTGATTTTGCGTGATTCCAGAAAATTCTTCCACTTAGGTTCGCGAGAGGAAACATATCGAAGAAAAGTGGTAAAATCAGTGTCCATATATTGAGGTGGATTATGTTCATCGACGAGCTTCGGTGATGGTTTCACGACGGAGGTCAAGGGGAAGCTGTGCAGCGACGCCACTGATATCCTAGGCTTTGTGGAATTCACCAATACTCTATGTAGCACGCTTTTGTACCTCCCGTTACTAAATATCTACAGAGAATAAACAAAATTGTTAGTTTTCTAGAAATGTTTTAGATCAACAATGAGAGAAAAATATGAGATATTGTATTTAAAACTAATTTGACATGCTAATCACTTATAAATGTCAATCTCTAAATTTTTTTTTTAAGATACAAATTATTTAGACGACAGCAAAAACAAAAAAAAGAAAAGAAATTACTTCAAGAAATAGAAGTCACTAAATTTAAATTTATTAGTAAATAAAGTAGTTTGGGTAACATGAAAATATAGAAGAAAACGTTTAAAAATATGATAATTAACATACCTCGAGATGATCGCCTACGTTGACGACAAAAGAGCCAGGGATGGGATCAACGGTGACCCACTCGTCACGGTACAGAATCTGAAGGCCTTCAACGTCGTCTTGAAGGAGAAGCGTCAAGAAGCCGTAGTCGGAGTGCGGTGGCATCCCTAGCGTCAGCTCCGGCTCTGGACACGGCGGATAGCAGTTCACCACCACCACCTGACTTCCCTCTTCCAACTCCTCAGCCGCCTCGTCGCCGCCATCAATTTCAAGACTTTCTAAGATGGCTCTGACCATCATCTCGAACATCTCTTTCGTCTCTTTAGCGTAGGTAGCCGCCAAACTCCTGTTTTCAAATTTTTTATACATAAAAAATTTAGTTAGACGTTCATGTACTAAAGTTTTATCGACATTTATATAAAATAACATATATTGGGGATGATTTATTAACATTATTCGTGATACGTAAAGTAACCCCGTGACTGCTATTATATGGTGGTGGTGTAGCTATGAAGATAAAGTAAGTCGTAATGTGACCTTTTCTTTGTTATTTAGTTGTATAATAATTCCACTCATCTTTATAGATTCACAAGCCGCCACTTACATAGTTACATGCATATCTATATTATTTTAAATATAATTTAGTAACCGCCCTTGCCTCTAGTTAATTATTGGGTGTGCGATTTGTGACCAAAGTGGAAGAATTGGGTATACATGCTCTTGAAAGATTCTAAAATTGTGTGTAATATCACAAATTTCCTCTGACTAATTCTCTTCACGTAGGTAAATGTTGAACCACCTATGTTTTTGAGTTTATTTAAAAACACATGTGCTAAAATCTTTTTGTGGAGTTTCTTGATGGAATATATCAAATTTAAGATTTTCTGTTTTCAGTAAATGGGAAAATAAGCACATGTCTAGCTAACTTTCTAGTTATAAAATGTAAATGTGGGAAATCTGACCTGAAGTCGGAAGGAGAAGAAGGCCAATGAGGAAGATATTCAGGGAGAGGATGTGCATAGAGTTTCAAGAAGTCTCTCCAACAAAATACATTGTCTTTGATCTGGTTGAAACTCGTGCCGTATCGTACTGGAGCCGACATGTCCGACGACATGTACTTTGATCTCTCCTCGTACGGCAGCTCGAAGAATCTCTTACACACTTCTATCATGTTCTTGCTCACATCTCCCTCCATCCCATGATTCACAACCTGCCCATTACCATAGCTTACTTGTTTAGCAAGAAATCTAGATATCACTTCATGTAATTTAGGGTTTTGAGAACCAACCTGGAAGAAGCCGTAGGTTTTGCAGGCCTCGGCTATGGTTCGTAGAACATGAGGGCGGTTAGGTCCAAGGAGCTCAGCGAAATCTATGAGGGGAAGCTTTAGGTTTTGTTTTGGTTTGATGAGCTTGTCGGATATTGTAAAGATAGGTCGGTCAGGTTCAGGCCATATATATTTAGTTGGTACTTTGGTCAGACCATTGTCACAAAGATGTTTCACGCCTTTTTGATATTTCTTGTTCTCTTCTTCCATCACCGGAGCTATCATTGACGGCGACATTCTTCTCCGTTACACTGAAAATGAGACATTTCCACGTATATGCATCAATAAACAATTAGCAAATATATAGAACTTATCAAAGAACGAAAACTCAGGAGATGTATGTTTTGTATAAGAAAGACTTATGTAATACACATACCTGATGGATCTTGATGCTCTTGAAAATTCTAGAGATATTATATATATATGTAAATGCAAGGATCTATGTTTGAGGACTTGGTAAGATGTGGTGTTGGTGGGTGTAGGTATTTATATACATACGTGTTTGAAGGAGACGTTGAAATGAATAGTCCAGAATTGATATTTTGACGGATTAAAGCAGTTTTGGTATTGTTCTGAGTCAAATTCTTGGAGACTGACTTCTTCTTCTTAACTCGTCCTTACCAAAAACCGTTGACATAGTGTTAATATTATTATTCTATAGTATTTAAATCGATAAGACACGAGATGGTAGGGTCTAGCTAGCTCGCAATAATATTAAATACATTTGAAAATGATAGAGAAGAAAATAATAAAATTTACAAAAGTCTACCTAGTTTATGAGAAAAAAAATATTATAGATTATTAAAATATAATAATGCGAGTTACCTCCTGAATTTTCACAACAAAAAAAGTTTTATATATATTGTTTACTAGAAAAAATATCATAGATATTGTTGGCGTTTAATAAACTATTAGATGGACATATTGAGGTCCCAAATGCGCAACAGCTATTCACATAGATCTAATGGAGATTACAGAAAATCATATATATCCTTATTTATTATACTTTTATAAATTAAAAATCAAATGATTTTGAAAGTTTGTTCAGATCGTTTTGTTATAATAACCAATTAGTTATTATTAAAAGGATGCCAAATTATTTGCAAGTTTTAGATAGGGTTATGAGTACTTTTTCTCCCAAAACATTTGAAACTGTACAATAAATAATTTAAAATTAACTATACATATATAATTAAAAGATAACATATATTTTACATAAATGATGATGGTTCATATGGGAGCCATGCAATCTCGAACTGGACACGTTGTCGATTCGTAGTCGAAAAGGTATACGTAATGCATTTCCAATACATCGATTTTAGATTCGTATAGTTGCGGCTGTTGTGGCCTTGTGGGTACCCCCGTACTCGGTCTCGAGTACTCAAGCTTCATAAAAATATATTTTTTAAGAAACATTTCCCAATTCGTAGCTTATCATGCATGTCGTAAAACATCATGTCTTATGACATGTACTTGTTGATAAAACACTCATTTTATAACCTTTTTTTTTTTTTTCCTGCTAAACAAATTCATTAATGTCAAAACGAGTTTACAAAGTCATTACAGAAACTTCGAAAGCACATTATTACATGAACAGAAATATGCGCCATATACTCAAGATGATATAAACTAAGAAGTGAATTTGACGATGCTTTCTTTAAAGCCTTACTCGCTAAGGGATTATTTAACCCATTATTTTCCTTCTTTGTAACCCATTAAACACTCATTTTATAACATTGATAAAATAAACACTACAAAAACATCTAGATGTTTTCATCTCATTTGATAGCTAGTCTTTGTCACATACTCACATAATACTGGGACGAAAATATCATGAAATTTAGCAATGATTTCGTCCCATTTCTTAGCTAGTCACAAATTTACAACGAGAGATATAATGCCTCGTTTAACAAAAGAAAAGATATATAATGCCTCCATTAGTATCTAGCGAAAGAATATTGTTCCAAAAAATCCTCGGTTAACTTATATACATGTGGAGGTTTTTTTTTTCTTTGTTTTTTTTTGCCATGTAGAGTTCAAAAACGTACGTGGATGTATAAAATGATTAAGTTCACAGCCGTATCAAGGGCTTCGTGAATGTTTCCGGCAGCCATCCAGTAGATAGGAACAGTACTAAATATTATTTTACTTTTCCTTCGTATTTATGGTATTGGAAAACAAATAAAAATATTATGTAAAGTCAACAAGTTTTAGATCTTTGGTATCGTATAAACAGTTTTTATGCCACATTATTATATGGTTGAAGAAAGTTCAGGAATGATTTGAATGTGGTTGAAGAAAGTTCAGGAATGATTCTTGTTGATGATACTAATTAATTGTCAACACAGAATATTTTGTAGCGAGGAAAATAAATATGCTGAAATGGTAAATGATGCAAATTTAATTCCGTCATTTGATCATAGATACATAAACAGGTGGAAAAAGAAATTTTGTGATCAAGACTTAGGAAATGAATACCACATGATTATATATATATATACATATAGCACGAAAAATTGGCTCATGTTACCTATGTTTTCCGTTTATTTGATACTAATTTATCTTTAAAATTACTCTTAGTGGTGGATATTTAAGTATTTGACGATACGGAACTACTTGGCGCGAAACTTCGTTGCTTGGGTCCCGTTGAGGAGGGGATTGGGTCAACTCGATAGGACTTTGTATATATGTTGACTTTTGCAAAATTGGCAAATATAAAACTTTCGTTAAAAAAATATGTAATTCTGTTTATATTTCGATTACATGCATCCTATATAACATATTCGCGTTTTATCTTTGTGTGTTCGTCAGTCGTCACCTATCAAGTCCGAACCGACCAGCATATTATACGATCCCTCGGATACTAAAATATTATTCCTAAAAATTTATATATGTATACTGTTTTTTTGTGAAAGTTTTTTTTTTTCCGCTCGGCGTACAATCCTATGCTTACCTCTGTTTCTATTCAAAGCCGCAAGCTGTCGATATATATATATATATATATATATATATATATACTTAATTAGTAATACACATATCATTTGAATATATGCGTACATAAACATAAGGATTTAACTAGAACGTATGATCTTTTGAATTTGACAAATAAACTACATAAGTTGAATTCTTAAAAATACCAAACTTTCTGTTTTATTCTTGAAAAAACAAAAATTATTATCAAACTTTATATTTTAAAAAAGTATCACAAATTTTTTGGATTTGAATAATGTTAAGATGAGGTATTTATGAGAAAATAAAAACTAAAATTATAAACTTTCTTTTTCTCACGAGCTGTAAATACTTTGCTTGAGAATTTTAATTGGTGGTTCTAATACCATTCCAAGTGCAGGATAATTCTTTGGGCTGTGTATTGAATTGGATATATTACATCCCTTGTTTGAAAAGTCGCTAGGCGCTAATCGGAAAATCGGATTAAAATCGGAGACTAGTTTTAGGGTTATTTTAATATTTTAAAAATATATTAATCTAATATTGTTTTCAAAATTATAGTAAACACATAATAATATATTTTAAGGCAAATTTTTATGATTTTTTATAAAAAAAATTATGATTTTTATTAAAATTTGAACATAAATTATTGTAAATCACAAACTTAAAAAAAAAAGTCGTTTTATACTTGCAATAAAAAAATAATCGGGATATGTAAGAATATGCGGAAAATAATCGGATTAAACGGGAATTAATCGGATAAAGCGGAAAGTAATCGGGTGATTGATTTTTATAAGGAATTAGTCATTAATCGAGGCGGAGATAGTGGGCCTAGCGATTAAGCGGAGAGTAATTGGGCTAGGCGGGGATTTTTTGAACAGGGATTACATCTTAAGGGAATAGATAACACGTATCCGGTATCTATAAAAATAGTATCTAATTAAAGTTGGGGCTTTTGCAAAAATGCCACTTTTTCAATGCCATTTTTCAAAAATACCTCTTTTTTAAAACCTTATAAAAAATGCTCTTAAAAATATAAGATTTACCCAAATATGTATGTAATATTATTAAAACATACACAAACTACATTTCTGTGTATCTAAAATCTTATAAATACTTTATAAATGCATTTTAAATACCTTTAAAAACTTTTAAAATATCTTGTAAAACCTTTGAAAAACCTTAAAAATCCTTTAAAATAACTTGTAAAACCTTTAAAAACACCTAATAAAACCTTATAAATACTTGGATCGAGTCTTCAAGTAGTAGTTACAATCCATAAGTACCTTATAAACCTAATAAAACTTTATAAAAATTTCAGATTTAAAAAGGGTCATTTTTGAAAATGGACATCTAAAAGGGGCATTTTTGAAAAGGGGCACACCAAAAGGGATATTTTTAACAATTTTCCATTAAAGTTTCAGTTAGGAATGTATATCAATGCTTAACAGTAAATAATACTAAGATTTTAGAAATCTTTCATAAACCTACAATTTGGGATTTAAAAAAAAAAAAAAAAACTGAACAGTAAATTATATCAAATATTTTTTTCTAAACAATTATCTATCTAGCTAGTATATGAAACGTTTAAATTTAATGGTCAGAAAAAAAAATAGTTGGACCAATATATATACACGTGATTTATATAACAAAACAAAATAATAACTATATTCTATATATTGATATTATATAATTTTCAGATAATAGTCCCTCTCTCACTCTAAGAGCTTTGACAAACTTACCTTCAATAATAAAAAATGCTAAGTATGTGATCTTGTCATTAGAAAACTAAGTAAGCAAGCTAAAGTGTTTTATAATTCTTCGCAAAAAAAAAAGTGTTTTATAAGGAATACTCATAATATAGATAAAATTTGATTGGACGAATCTTGCCAAATATATTAATTAAGGTTTAGTTTCATCCATGCATTCCACCAGCTGTTGACGATAAGAATAATACAGAAATGAGATTCATACATCATGCAAGTAATCTCAATTCTAATATGAAAAATAATTTCGTACGATTTTTTTGGGAGATTGATTTGAAGATTAGTTTCCCCCAAGTAATGACTTTACGAAATGATTAAACTATGAAACTGATATATTGAATTGTGAGAATATCCGATATTTTATGAAAGTCAAAGGACGACATCTTGTACATTGGTTGGTTTTACGATATCCACGTCGCATCCATGTATAGGCACGTAGCCAACTAAAACTATTGGACGTAATATATAGCCATAAAGTGTCCCTTGAATTTTATTTTATCTTTTATTAAGCGAAAAGTTCCAAGAGTTAAAAGACAGCCCCGATCGAGACTATACCTTTTTTCCGCTTTTAATATCCGATTTCATAAATTTGTAAACTTTTTGTTGTGACTGTTACTAATGCCGGATGTTACTCCTTGTATTTAACTTCTTGAATTCAATTTTGTTTTATTAAAGTTGAATTTAAATTGGTGATAAATTTAAAGTTTTCTAAACACATCATTCCATGAACTGAAAACTCATATATTGAAAAATATCGACCGATTTAACCACTGTTTAATGTGCACCATGCTTCAATCTCCATTCAATATTATGAGTTTATTATAGAGTCGGAAAGGAATTATAGATATTGTAAAGTCTCAAACCTAAAAAGTCTATTCTCTCAAAGTTATGCTTTAAAGTCCATAATTAGAGTTGATTTCAGATTTTGCGAAGTCGTTTTTTCTACCATTTGAATTTTCAAATCTGATGACAATATAATTTTTATTTTTATTTTTGGTACAAGACAATATAAAATTTAATGTGTGACTATCTTTCTTAGCAGAGTATATTTTGTATAGTGTGAATTTATTTTTTCTTAAATCAGATTTAGCCTGAAATAGGGTTGGTTCTTTATTTTTATACGTGCAACTGAAGATAAACGTAAAGAGCTTTGTGTTGATATGTTGATTAACAAGTCTTACGAATTTAATCTAGTTACAACTGGTTATTATTAATTAAATAAAGATAAGAGTCCTACACAAAATAAGTCTTGGAGTCCAGACAGTAGGAGAGTTTTTATTAAACTCTAGAAAGAGTTACGTGAGTTATCAAAAAAAACAGTTAAAACTTGCGACAAAACAAGTAGCTTTCGTGTATGGACGACTAGGCCTCGAAGTCAAACACAAAATTCAATATATTAATAGGAGAGTTAAATGAAAGATACTCCGTATATTAATATAGAATCTGCATGCATTTCGTCTTTTTCCTCTCCATTCGTTGCATTGGTTTTCTAGGCCACGTCAGGCTCTCTATTTCTTTTTTATACTGTTTGTATTTAATTCGCATTCAACTTCAGCTTTTTTTTTTTTTGTTCAAAACATTTAGCAGTGATTTAACTACATTTTTTTACAATCGTGACAAGATTATGAGACATTGATAATGTATTACACGTAATTGTATTAATGCACATTATGACTTAGAAAAAAGCCGTGGACCTTTCCAAAGTTCTATCTAATTAATAATAACAGTTGCCTAAGTCAAAGTTATTATCGTAGTTTTTTTTTTTTAATTATTATATATAAAGTCAATTAATATAGAACTTAGAAGAGCTAGGGACATATTGCTGACGAACAGTTGCAATCGTAACGTTACGCGAACTATTTTTAAGTGTGACAAGCCACGAAACTAACAATTTCATGTCTTAAACTTTGCTTTCAACCATTTCTGCTTGTGAGATTTTAGATTAATGATACATTGATACTTGTCTGTCAAATTTAATAAACTTAACGTAAAGATACTGAAAGTTCCTTAACGGGAAATTTAAGTTATATTATATAGCAAAAAGTTGCAAATAATTTCATGGATTTCATGATTCAACTGGATCGATTGTTTTGTTAGCTATTTCAAAACCATATTGTGGTGAATTAGTGACTTTTGTTTGACGTGAATTTGGGACATGGATCAAAAATCTTGCACCTCCCAAACTTGACCATCCGTAACATTTTCAGTAGCAAACAACAAAATAACGAATTTTTTTTAGTAAAAAATAACGAATTTTTATAAGTCTCGAAGATTATTTTAAGTTTTGACCTGAAATTTTTCTGGTTTAATAAATCATCATGGATTTTGAAACTAATTTGACCCATAATATTGATAAGAAAAAATAAGCTACATCCATATTTAAGATTTGTGCATTTTAATTTATATGATAATACGGAAAATTGTGTTATGTACCGCTTTTGATATATAGCATGTATTTTCTTAGTTATCTTCTCTTCACTTCAAATATGATATGGTAATGGTATGTGCTGTTGGTCAGAAAAACAAGATATGTCATGTGCAGTTTTATCTGTGTGCATTATGGAAACTTTTCTTAGGTTAGAAAAGAAAACCCAAAATAACACATTTTAAATTTATGTTATCATCACTAACTAGCATTCCAACAAAAACGATATCATAAAGTGGTTGGTAGCTATGTCAAATTTAGATGACAATTGCCAAATTTTGACCATACGAAAATTATTAAGCAAACAATATGGAGGGTGATTGTCAACATATCATTATATTACTAATTAAATCACTGTTTAACCAAACTTGGATTTCTTTTGGAAATTTTACCAGTATCCGAACACTATTTGTTAAATCAAATACTACTATTTTCCCATCATTTTTATCGTCATGATGATTTTAGTTTCCCTAATCTCTATCATAATTATTTTGTCCGAACTGAAAAATGGCACGATCATACTAATATGTTTTTATATTTTAAAATTTGATTTCGAGACTGAAATTTGAATTAGCTCATATCCCGAAACATTCATTGACAGTGTTCGAATGTGGAAAAATGTTAAACGAGACTTGGTCATCATTAAATTACGCGGTGTTTCCACCAAATAAAATAAAACTACGCGGTGTTAATCTTTCCAATCTTAAGCTGACCGGCATGCATGTGTTTGTATCTAGAATCCAAAACGACGCCGTGTATCTCTAAAAGTCAAAGAATTGACCGTTAAAAGCCGACAAGGTCTCCTGATTCAATGGGGGCTTTTAAAGATCTGGCCATGTCCGTAAACGGAAACAGTACTTCAGATGTACTTCCGGTCAACTCAATTAAAACCAGATCAACTAATCATTCATTTCTTTTCCAAATTCTTTTTTTTTTTGTTATGTTTTATAGTAAGTCGCATTTTCATTTAATGAGAGCTAGACATCAGATATAACAAATGCATGCATGATCTTTGAATTATTGCTCAACTCTAATAGGCAGACTCTAACCAGAAACCACTAGTTTTTTATTTGATGATTATTGTCCAACAATTCTATATATTTATATTTATTTACAACGTTTGAAGATACTATCATATGTTTTGTTCTCAATCTCACTACTTTAATATTCCACAGTGAGAAATAAGAGAAATGAAAAAACGACACCTCCAGCACAAAAATCTCCGAGCACAGTTGTTACATGTGGTGATTAAGAGATGATATATATGAACTATTTGAAAGGAATCATTTAAACGATTCACAATGTGCAGTGTTTTCCACATAAACATATTTTCATTTTCTGTTTTCTGTCCCATGTAGTAAAAAGTACCGCAAATCATTTCAACAAAAACACATTTTATTTTGAAGAAATAATTGGTAGATCACATGTTTAAAGAACGTGAAATTTGGGCTGACATAAATAGACTAAACTTTTGTAATTAAACCGGACAAGCGACGCTTGAGCTTTATTTGATTTTTTGGTTTTTTAAAGAAGTCAATCAAGTCGAATTAAAAAAAAAAAATGTCACTTATCTCCCATTGCCAATTTTTTCTTAGGAAGAATAAGAAAGCCATTGTATTGTTCGTGGACAAAAGAGTGCTTGTTCTCGAACGGGGCCAAAAAATCAAACGGATTGATTCTATGGAAACCTCTACTTGTCTTTTGCGAATTGAATTTAGAACTTCTAAAGTACTAACAAAAATGGTTAGTCTTGAGAAAACACCCCGAAAGTCCACTTTGATATATATATATATATATATAATTTTTAAAACTAGAAAGATGCATAAAATACAATTTCGCAAAAATCAACTAGTATGTCAAACAACAACAATAGATCATTTGATAAGGAAACACATAAAGTCCAAGCACACACGTAATGAAAGTTTTGACTAAAAATACTAAAATTGTATTTTTCAATGATTTTACATAACTTCAAACATATTATCACCCAAAAATGTTACTTAGTTTTATTATATATACAAAAAGAAAATAAGCTAAAATAAGTTATGTTGTTGCTCATTTGTGTAAAGCATGTAAATTGATGCGATAGGAATTAGGCCGACTACCCCATGATGGGCCAATAATAAAGGCCCATTAACTGTATAACTTAGCAAGTTAGATAACATGAAACGAAGAAGAAAGGTCGTTGGCATAAAGAAGAAAAAACGATTTTGAGGCAATTTGCCGATTCCTCAATCATTTTATCTGCTGAATTAGCAGCAACTTTTTTTCTTTTCGAAATCGAAACCACTTTCGGTGGACTCTACGAACCATGTTCAATTTCTGGTAACATCAATTAACTTTTGATGATCTGATTTGTGATTTTCCGATTTTGTTACCTTCTTACGCAGCTCGAATCTAATTTTGATTATGATCGTTTATGGGGAATTTCAATTTCTGTCTGTCTGTTTATGCATACCGTTAATGGCTCTTCGTTGAGATTCTTGCTTACTTGAATTCTCTAGAACCACTGATTGAGGGTTAATTTATAGGTTGCTGCTAACATATCTAGAACTTTCTGATGCATATTGTGAAAGCTTTGTTGCTGTGTTGGTCTCTTTACAATAATTCATGAGAGGGTTTCTATAAAGATGACTAGATTTGAGTATTCAGATAATCAACTAAGTATTCATGAGAGGTTTTTTGTATTTTGTGTAAAAAATCAGGGGATCAAAAGAACAACAACAAGGGCAGTCTCCAGAAGCGTCTGCAACCCCGTGGTATTCACCATCTCTGGTCACTTCGCCTAGCTCATCCCGGTCTCAAACATCAGGGCAGATTCCGCCACATGTTTCACCAGGGGAAGCCGCCGGCATTATTGCCATTTTAAAAGACAAAAGGTTAGCTTTCTAATTCCTTTAAATCTTTTTGTTTGCCTCTTTTGTGTGAGACTTTTATGTATGTGTATGTTATCATTTGTCTTATGTCACACATTTCTTTTCTTCTTCAATCTCACTTTCGACGAATATTGAGGTACATGAAAGGACGAGTTTGGGTAATTGGTACTTTCAATATTTTGGTTGCTGAAATTCTTCTCTGTGATTTTGTCTTGTGTTGCTAATTTAAAGGGAATCGATTTCTGTATTTGCCAGCTCAGTATTGTGGTCTTGTATGCTTACTTTTGTTACCTTTGCTCTAGTGTGGATGAGCTCAGGAAGCTTCTGTCTGACAAGAATGCGTATCAACAGTTTTTGCACTCGCTTGACCAGGTCACTATTCAAAACAATGTAAGTCAGAAACATGAAGTTCATTTGTCTTAAGAAATGTAGCTTCTTCACTAATTTCGTTTTTGAGATGATAAACCTGTGCCTTTTTCTTTATGTTCATCAGATAAGAGAAGAGCTTCGCAAAGAAACATTGCATCTAGCTAGTAAAATCTCGTAACTTTATCTAACAACGAGAATTCTATTTTCACCGACAATCTAAAACAGTCAAATGCTAATATAACAGGAGAAAACTTGGAGAAGGAACCACAGATAGTGGAGCTCAGAAACCAAGTGGGTACACTATTCATATTCGACTCTGTTATTTGAGAATGAAACTTTTCGACGTCTGTATAATCTTTTTTTAACAGTGCAGAATAATCCGGACATCCGAGCTTGCGACTGCTCAAGAGAAGCTCAATGAGCTGGAGAATCAAAGAGAAGAGATCCTCAAATTCTACTCTCCAGGTTCTCTTCTTCATAGACTTCAAGGTAAACCATTAGTTGCTTCACTCAGTATCCTTTATGTGTAACAACAAAATGATACAAGTCGGTTTCTAATACACAATCCCGGTTTGTTTATCGCAGATGCTATGAACAAGGTCGATGAAGAATCCGAGGAGCTGCAACAGAAGTTAATGGAGAAGGATATTGACACAGCTGCATTTGTGCAGAAATACAAAAAGCTAAGAAGCAAGTATCATCGACGGGCTTTGATTCATCTCGCTGCTAAAACTTCATCTATCAGTTGAGAAAACGAAGCTCTTTTTGTTTCTTTTCCGTATGTGTAAGTAAACAAAAATGGTTCAAAGTCGAGATCTATGTACGAGATCAATATATCATTGTACTATTTACAGACTCATGTTCTCTATGAATCTGAATCTTCTAATGTTATGTTCTTCCTGGTTTGGGTGTGAAAAACAACAAATGCACAATTATGTTCAGAGTCTGACGTGGAATGTGTCCAATTTTGTCTTCGTTTAGGAAGCTAACACCACAATTTACCAAAGCCTCATTATTTGACGTGTCCTTTTGGATCATGAAGACTAGCACGACTCACCTACAAGTCAATTTTAAATAATAAGTAAACCATATTTTAACTTATTCATATAATTTTCTGGTAAGTACTCGAAGGTGGTCTTACGAGTGGTGACTAATTTAATATAAGCCTCACTAACCTAAAAACTGCTCAGAAAATTTGTCTAAAGATTTGCGTATAAGAAACTTAATTTCTCACAATTAATAATAGCGAAAATATACAATTTGGTTGCTCCAAATCTAATCATTTAAGAAAATTTCCCGGTTTACATGCTCAAATTTAACAATTTCATATTCTTCTTCTTTTATCTCATTGAGAAAATTAAGTAAAGAAAAGGAAGATAAAGGAAATACGTAAAAGGAATACAATATACCAATCGTTAATTTATAAAATAGTAAAATCAACCAAAACCGAACCAAACCAAACTAAACCGAAATTAATAATTTGGAGTATATAAATTTCCTTAATCACCACTATCTCCGCTAAAACATTTGAGAACGTCTCTCTCTCTCTCTGACAGTTCTTTTTGTTTTTCTGTCTCTCTCTCTCTGCTCGATGCGAAGAATCGAGCATTTGTGTCGCTCTCTGTAACGTGTGTCTCTATCAGGAATATAACCAGAATCTCAACGAGCTGCTTGAATGCGTATCTTTCGTTCCCTGATGTTGGCGGTGGCGTTAGCGTTGGCTTTGGCCGTGACTGAGCTCGCAGCATCGCCGTTACCTTCGGTCTTTGCGAAATACGCAGCTGGTCCGGCCAAGATTCTTCCTTTACAAAGGGCTTTTCCACTAGACGAGCCGGTGGAGCTGAGTGAACTTAGAGCGCGTGATCGTGTCAGACACGCGCGAATCTTACTCGGCGGTGGTCGTCAGAGCTCCGTTGGCGGCGTCGTGGACTTCCCAGTTCAAGGCTCCTCCGATCCTTACCTCGTAGGGTAAATCTTTCGTCTTGGAATGTTTTTTTTTTTTTTTTTTTTTTTTTTAATTTCTTGTTTCAAGCAGAAATCGGAAATGTCTTTCCTTTTTTCCATAATTGGATTGATTCAAGATCATTTTCATTAAATTCTCTGATGAAATTGAAAAAGTTTTCATTGTGTTTTCCTTGTTTGTTCCTTTAGTTAGCCTTTGGCTTTATCTTGTGCCCTGTGCTTTAGAAAGGTTTTTAATTGGAAAAAAAAGTAGATTTTGAAATGCTATCATTACGGAGAGATCTTATTGAGTTTGTCTCCTATCTTTTTTCTTTTTTTGCAGCTCCAAGACGACTATGTATGTCACATTTGCACACACTCTGTTATTGGAGTTCTAATGGAATTTATCAGCTTTTTTTCTTTGTGGACAAATCTTCTCTTTTGTGATATATTTGTATCCTGTGTCTGTTTCTTGGTAGGCTTTATTTCACAAAGGTCAAATTAGGTTCTCCTCCTACAGAATTCAATGTTCAGATTGATACTGGAAGTGACATCTTGTGGGTTACTTGTAGTTCTTGCAGTAATTGCCCTCACTCTAGTGGACTTGGAGTAAGTAGCTTTGTCTTAATTTTTTACTTGGGATTAGCAACAGAGAAGTGTGTAGGGCTTATCCTTTCTCTTTTTTCAAATTCATTTCAGATCGACCTTCATTTCTTTGATGCTCCTGGTTCCTTCACTGCTGGCTCTGTTACTTGTTCAGATCCGATTTGTTCTTCAGTTTTTCAGACGACAGCTGCTCAATGTTCTGAGAATAACCAGTGTGGTTACTCCTTTCGCTATGGCGATGGAAGTGGGACTTCAGGTTACTACATGACTGACACGTTCTATTTTGATGCGATTTTGGGAGAGTCTTTGGTTGCAAACTCATCTGCTCCCATTGTTTTTGGGTGAGAGCTTCTTCTAATAAAACACTGGCCCTTGTGTTTGCATGAAAGTGTATGGCATATCAAAGATCTTAAACTTTGTAAATGATTTTCTTTTATTTGTAACAGCTGTAGTACCTACCAGTCCGGGGACTTGACAAAGTCAGACAAAGCAGTCGATGGTATATTTGGATTCGGCAAGGGAAAGTTGTCCGTTGTTTCTCAATTGTCGTCAAGAGGGATTACGCCGCCAGTGTTTTCTCATTGCTTGAAAGGAGATGGTAGTGGAGGTGGTGTATTTGTCCTTGGCGAGATATTGGTCCCAGGAATGGTTTACAGTCCTCTCCTTCCATCACAGTAAGCTCACTAATCCTTCTTTTTAATTTTTCACTCTTAGATTGTTTCTTTTATCGTATTATGCTGGCACAACCTGAAATTGTGATAAATCTTTGTTTTAGTCTAATGCATGAGCATTATATGTAGAGGAGGTAGTTTGTAAATTGTAGTGGATCGTAGCTGTGTTGACAGCTCAGCAACAGTCGTTGAGTTGGTTAACTAGGGAGCTAACATGTTAAATAATAAGTTGGCAGAATCAGCTGGGGCATTCTGAATTTTTCTAGGATTTGAGATTGGGAATTGGGCCGAGAGTAGAGTTTTTCTCATTAATCAAGTCTCTCTGTAATATGTAGTTCTTTAATAAATTGGAATATATGAGTTAACCAGTTTCGATCATAACAATTTGCTGCCTCCCGATTGAGTCAATCTTTTGCTGCCCCAACTGGTTCTGAAATAGTTGAGTGGCATGTGATACTGATAAGAGAATCTGTTTTATCTTTTGATTACGTGCTACAGGCCTCACTATAACTTAAATCTGCTGAGCATTGGCGTGAATGGACAGATACTGCCCATCGATGCAGCAGTGTTTGAAGCATCAAATACCCGTGGAACTATTGTTGACACGGGAACCACTTTGACATATCTGGTGAAAGAGGCTTATGACCCTTTTCTCAATGCTGTAAGTTTGTGTATATTTTCTGTATTTTGCATGAGATTGTGGCTTTCACATCATGATGGTTTTTGTTTCGTGTCTGCAGATATCAAACAGCGTGTCACAGTTGGTCACACTGATCATTTCTAATGGAGAGCAGTGCTATTTGGTCTCGACTAGGTATGTCTCCTCATCTATAACTGCAATGTTAAAATCCTTTTCTTTCTAGATCAAAGTTAAGGGGAGAGTTGTCTTGGTTTTGTGTGTTTGTGCAGCATAAGTGACATGTTTCCTCCAGTTAGTCTCAACTTTGCTGGTGGTGCATCAATGATGTTAAGGCCTCAGGATTACTTATTTCATTATGGTTTCTATGTAAGCTCTTCTGCTTGTTATATGTACATAAAACTAGTAAAACTAAAATAGTCTGGTTTTATGCAATCTTCTTACTTGGTCTCTTCTATCATAACAGGATGGTGCGTCCATGTGGTGCATTGGTTTTCAGAAAGCTCCGGAAGAACAAACCATTTTAGGAGGTCAGACACTGAGCTTTAAAACCGGATGATTACCGAACTCTTCTTGTTTCAACAGTGTTTATATATCTGTCCTGTTTTGTTTTGCAGATCTTGTACTTAAAGACAAAGTCTTTGTGTATGATCTTGCTCGGCAACGGATTGGATGGGCAAACTATGATTGTAAGTATAAATAATCTTATAGTCATGTCATTTAAGGAACTCTAGTCATTGGTTATCTTCATCTGAACTTAGAAAAACTTGTATTTCGTTTTTGACAGGTTCGATGTCTGTGAATGTATCGGTAACTTCAGGAAAGGATATTGTAAACTCAGGCCAGCCATGTTTGAACATCTCGACAAGAGAAATACTCTTAAGATTCTTCTTTAGCATCTTAGTGGCTTTACTTCTTTGTATTTTCTTCTCATTGACGTGAATTTATAGAATTTGTGGGTTTGTTTTAGAGTAGTGTAGGCTGATTTTGTTGTGTTCCTTTTGATTCTTTTCACCATTATCCTCGTGTATCCTCGCTTACAGTAACTAGTATAGTGCCTTTTAATTGTAGATCAGTCTCATTGTGAAGGAAATATGGTTACTTGTAACTATAATACTGCAGGCCTAAAACGACAATTACTAAAGCAAATCAGTTTAGTATTAAAAAAATCAATCCAAAACTTTAGATAAAACTGAATAATTTTCTATAACACGTTTTATGAAATTAAAATAGTCGCATAAGGGTAATAATGTCTTATTTCGAAATGTGACAAAATTTCAGATTACTTTTACAAAAATATCCAAAAAAAATAATCATCAAAACGAAACGGCACGAGTCGCGACGAAACGGCACCAGAACAAAAACGCTAGTGAAGGGACTAATATAAAAAGCTCAGGAGAGGACTAACGTAACGGCCTCGTTTCGCGATTCTTGTCATCATCTTCTTTCTTTCACTCTCTCTCTTTCTTTCTTTCGTCGTTTAGTGCATTTGTGTTTCCTCAGAGGAATCAGAGCGAAAATGGCGACTGTTCACGCTGCATTATCTGCGGCGGATGCTTCTTCTTCGGGATCGAGTTCTCCTGTGACGGCGTCGCTATACGTCGGAGACTTGCACCCTAGCGTCACCGAAGGTATACTCTACGACGCGTTCGCCGAGTTCAAGAGCTTAACTTCTGTTCGTCTCTGTAAAGACGCTTCTACTGGTCGCTCTCTCTGTTATGGCTACGCTAACTTTCTCTCGCGTCAAGACGGTATACTCTTCTTCCATCTCTTCGATTTCGTTTGGATTTTAGGTTATTGTGAGCCGTTTCGTTGATTATCTTCGTTTTTGTATCATGTTTCGCTTATTGCACATTTGGAATGCTGATAATCGGTGAAGAATCTGTGTTTATTTGTCCGATTTTCCCGGGAAAATGTTACTTTCTTCTCCAATCCTTATTTATTCATGCACTTCTACGGATTTCTCTTTGATTTGTTGTGAAACGGAGACGGATCTTGTTGTAAACTGATCACGCCTTTGATTTCTGATATTTTCACTGAGATTTACGTTTGATTAGAGCATTTTGTTTAAAGAACATGATGTTGAACTTCAAAGATGTTAGTGACAGTATCTTTAGGCTTGATTAAGATCTTGTTTGATAGTATCTTTTCCTTCAATTGTGCAGCTAACCTTGCCATTGAGAAAAAGAATCACAGTCTGTTGAATGGAAAAATGATTCGAGTAATGTGGTCAGTTCGAGAGCCAGACGCTAGGAGAAATGGGGTTGGAAATGTCTTCGTTAAGGTAGTATTTTAACTCAAATAGATGGATAATATTTTCATTGTCTGATTAAATGTTGTTGATGGTTACTATCGTTTTTATATGGTTAGAATTTGCCTGAGTCAATCACCAATGCGGTTCTGCAAGATATGTTCAAGAAATTTGGGAACATTGTTTCCTGTAAGGTTGCAACTTTTGAAGATGGAAAGAGTCGGGGATATGGTTTTGTTCAGTTTGAGCAAGAAGACGCCGCACATGCTGCTATTGAGAAATTGAACAGTACCACTGTTGCTGGCAAGGAGATGTAAGACTTTCCTACTTATTGGTTCCAAGATTTGTGTCTTTGGATTACGTTTAGAATGAGATATCTGCTTCTACCAATGGTTTCCAAATCTGAATCTCTGGAATTTTTTGATGCAGCTATGTTGGAAAATTCATGAAAAAGACTGATCGAGCAAAAGCTGAGGAAAAGTACACAAACGTGTACATGAAGAATCTCGACGCAGATGTCAATGAGGATCTTTTAAGGGAAAAGTTTTCAGAGTTCGGGAAAATTGTTAGCCTAGCAATTGCAAAGGATGAGAACGGATTATGTAAAGGATATGCATTTGTCAACTTTGACAAACCAGAGGATGCAAGATGGGCAGCAGAAACAATGAATGGAACACGATTTGGTCTGATGGATCTGTTTCTTTTCTGAGATAATAATACTGCATTAAGTTTTGCAAAGTTATTTAATCTTTTGTTTCTTCTTGATAGGTTCAAAGTGCCTATATGTAGGAAGGGCACAGAAGAAGGCAGAACGGGAGCAACTGCTAAGGGAACAATTTAAAGAGAAACATGAAGAACAGATGATGAAAGCCAAGGTATTACCATAGAGTAAAGCCTTTGTTAGTTTGATATGATATTATTCTGATAGTTGACTGTTTCTAATTCTGAATTGAAGGTGTCGAACATATATGTGAAAAACATCAATGTTGGTGTTACTGAGGAGGAGCTGAGAAAACACTTCAGTCAATGTGGGACAATCACTTCGACAAAGCTGATGTGTGATGAGAAAGGAAAAAGCAAGGGATTTGGATTTGTGTGCTTCTCAACACCTGAAGAAGCTATTGATGCTGTGAAAACCTTTCATGGTAAGCTGCAGGATCATAATTTGTTGGTATATAATGGATATATGACATAGCTCGTAGTTCATCTTATCATATGATTATTCTGATGCTTCGTAGGGAAAATGTTTCATGGGAAACCACTATATGTGGCTACTGCTCAAAAGAAAGAGGACAGGAAGATGCAGTTACAGGTTCAATTTGGGAACTGTGTGGAAGGAGGAGGAAGCAGCTCTTCAGCATCTTTCATACCAGGGACATACGCTCCTCTCTACTACACAAATACTCATCCCGGGATGGTATATCAGTCATACCCCCCGACGTGGAAGTCTGCTAACATGATCAGTTCTTCATACCCTAACTCTCAAGCACTCACATATCCTTCAGTGGTATAGATTAATATTATTACTATATATTGAAAGAATATTCATTATGATAATGCCTGACACGAAGATCTCTGGTAGGTTGGCAATGCGCCAAGAAAGATTAAGCAGAACAGAAAAGGAAAGTTGGATAGGAATGCTGTTTCGTATGTGCCAAATGTGTATCAGTCTACTCAAATGCTTCCTTTGTCAAGAGATTTTTCGAACCAGCAGGTATTTGGTTTTCTTATTACCTTATACATTGTGTAAGATGGTACAAGTTATAATTTTTGTAAAGCATATGCAGCTTAACAGAACCTACGGTCGTGGGAAAGAAATGAAGAAACCAATCCAACAAAGACAGTCTGAAACAATTGTGATGGAGAAGCAATTGCTCGGAGAGCTGCTCTACCCTCTTGTGGAGAAACTCGAGGTTGGTGTACTTGAATTTGATCCTTATGTAACTTTTCACATCCTATTTGTTATATTGATAAACACTAGATCTATATGCAGTGACCTTACGTATCATTCTTTTGCAGCCCCAACTTGCCAACAAAATCACAGGGATGCTTCTGGAAATGGACAAGTCGGAATTGCTTCTTTTGCTGAAATCACCACAAGAATTGGCTGTTAGAGTCGAAGAAGCGTTTGAAGTTCTGAAATCAGCCAAGACAAATGTGACCGGTCCTAACACTCTTCGTTCTGATTTCTTGGCGTCTGGCATTGCTGGTGTTTCGATTAAGTGAAGGACAAAATGAAAAAAAAAACTTGTTACCTCAGTTGCTACTTGCAACACAAACTCTTGTGGGATTCTTTTGTTTTTTTTTTTCGGTATTAGTTCTTGGATTGCTATTCTACTTTGGTTTTATTGTCTTGTGTGAAATACATTTTCATAAATGATTTCAATGACTATGGGAATTGTGGAGAAATGATGAAATATTCATGATCATGCTTCTTTTGTAAAGCAATGCTATTACACACTAGAACAAGACCTTCTTGAATGAAATAATATTCGTTCTTCCTCAGGATCCACTGTCAAAGAGTGTCTTCCGAAACATCTTTCCTCTGCTTTTGATTTTCCCTTCTCATTTCCTTCAACCCATTTCTTCAGCTTCTTCATCAACCTCTTCCTCCTCGAAGATTCATGATGATGATTATTGTGACAATCTTCATGTTTCTCATAAGCTACCGACATCAATGCCTGAGCAGCATCTGCTTGAACGTTCTCTAAACCCATCTCTTGCAAGTTTCCATTTGGAGAAAACATGATTTCCCCAAAATTGGCTCCATTTCTCATTACCTCGTGTCTCAAACAAGCATTGCTCCATCTCAGGTTGATCACTTCCTTCACTCCATTTGCATAATCCTTCTTCAATTCCTCATACTCTTCTACTACCCTTGTATAATCTTCTAGACTCACCATCTTCTTAAAACCAAAAAAGTGACAATAAACATAACATTAACTGAAATCATTAAATCTAGAATCGCATATATCAACACTAACCTCTGATGTTAAATTTGAAGATTTTATGAATAATTCTTCCTTTTCCTCTTGCAGCACATCAACGTAAGCTTTCATGTCTTTAACTTCACCTTCAAGTTCTTTCAAAATATAATTCTTCGTCTCCAATTCATCAACACACTTCAAGAACTCTTTTTCCACGCCAATAATCCTCCTGCTCTTCTCGTTAGCAACTCGGTATAACTGCTTTGATCTTCTCCTAAGCTTCTTTGCTTTCCCCTCAAGCAGCCCATTCTCTGATCTCAACTCTTGGATTTCTCCCACCAATTTGAGATACACAATCACCAAATCTTGTCCCCTCTTATGTTCTTCCTCCATCGCTAAAACTTCTTTACGGAAGAAATCTAATTGAGATTTCTCAAGACTCAACATGCTTTTATGCTCCATAAGCATCACTTCTTGATCTTTCAAGTTACAAAACCGCTCGAATTGCAACTCCATCTCGTATTCCTTCCTTTTAAGCTCCTCGAATCTGGATTTTAAACTGAGAATCTCTTGCTTTTGATGATCCACGCTCTCTGTTTCTTCTTCCTGATCATTTCTTCTGCTAGGTGATGAAGAAGACTCCGGATTGCTTGTAGAAGAAGTTACCTCATTATCTTCATTCCGAGACACAAACCTAGCCAAAATCAAACCAGTTGCTGATAATACAATGGCAACACAAACTCTCAGAATCACCGGCTTCATAGCTCCTCCATCTCTTGGACCTGAACCATCCATGAATCTCTTCTGGTACTTTCAACTCCAAAGTCTTTCTTCCTGACTAAAAAAGAATCCTTTCGGTTATATGATCGAAACACAGACTAGAGAATTGATTGATCAATCTTGTGAGGGTTTGATCAAATTTAAATGGTTTATTATAGGAATCATGGTCTTTTTTAAATATTTATTTACTCCTTTTTTGTTGTGGAGGAGACATGTCTTGTAAGATTATTCTTTTCCCTTGCCTTTTTGTTGAGTTTTAAATAAGAAAATTAACAGAGATCGTTTGCTTTTTGACCATTGCTTTTGCTTGCTTACTCGTTTGGGCATCGGATTCTCCACTTACACGACATACGTGTGTACTCATACTCACACGTACCTACATGTTATGAATGCTATGCTGCTAGCTAGGAGTTCCATATTATTATATAGTTGATTCAATCGAAACTCATAACTAAATTTTTTCTGATTTGATCTGATCTAACTATTTAATTACTTGAAATCTTATGGTCCTCACGTTAGTGTATATCATATTAACGAAAAAACATGTAGAAAACGTGACCGATTTGGATGATTCGGGATCAAATGCGGGTCACAATGCTGTCGGGGAAATAATAAAAAATGACGTACCTAATTATGTATAAAACTACTCTATATGAGAACATGATTAACGTGATTACCTTTTTGACAAAAAAGGTTAACGTGATTAATTCTCTGTATCTACACGTACTAACTTGAATTAAGTAAAAAATTAGAGAAAATTTGGAAATAAAATCCAAACTGTTCGAATGAACTTATTTGTATCCTTCCAAGAACCGTCATAATGATAATTTGATAACCGAATTAATCAATGTTCGGCTCTATCCAATGAAAACTTGCATCCTTGTTTCTCTAATGCTTGTTCCAAATTATAGCCTCGATAATTTTGATGTCTTAGCAACATTGGGTGGAATACGATAGATATATCCGTTTGAAATTTTGTTCTTGCCATTTTTTTTTTATATCCTTCCGATTTATTCTGCATTTAAAAATATTATTTATATCCGGTATAAAATTAATCAAATATTTAGTTTGCATATCCAATAGTTGAATATATGACCTGTTTCTAAAATATTTTAAAGATAGCATATAAAAAATAAACAAAATTCTAAAAAAACATGTGTATTTATGTATATATTAGCACTCGTTACACACCTATCTATATGTTTTAGTCTTTTAAAGCAAATAACAAAATAAATCTTAGAATCTAGCAATCACGAACCGTATGGTCAGTACGTCTCAATATATAATAAAATCTATGGCAAAACCAAAAAAAATTTAAACTTTTTAATAATTAAAAACAAACATTTTGGATTTTTTTCTTTAAAAAACTTTTTGAAATTAATACTTGGCATTTGCCTACATTCCTTATGAGTAGAGATGGGCCTGCGTGCATATGTTCATGATCGAAATGTGATAAAATGAAACAAGAGATCATTAACCATTTCATCTCACATTTTAATTTCCTCGAGCAGCTCAAATTCTGATATCAAAGATTTATTAGAACCGACCGTCAATACTTGCTTGCTTATGTCTTAACTCTTAAGTCATGCTATGAACACTCAAGAATCAAGATCCATGCATGAAAAGTCCACGTGTCATAGTACATTCCTAGAAGATGAAACTAAGTAAATTGTACGTGGCAGCTGTTGTGTCCTCCTATCTACCACGTGGCGTCTCAACAGAAACAGAGCACTACTATAAGAAGCAACAAAAGCAGCTCAACTGATAGCACAAACAAGAAAGATTCTAAAATCGCAAAAATTCCGAACTCAGTTTTTCTTAAAAAGTTTCAAGCAATCGAGGAAAAAGCAATGGCGTCAGACCAACAAAAGGCGGAGAGAGCTGAGGTTGCGGCGAGGCTCGCGGCTGAGGACTTGCATGACATTAACAAATCTGGTGGTGGTGATGTCACAATGTATAAGGTGACGGAGAGAACAACGGAACATCCACCGGAGCAGGAGAGGCCCGGTGTGATAGGATCGGTGTTCAGGGCTGTCCAAGGAACATATGAGCACGCAAGAGACGCAGTAGTTGGAAAAACCCACGATGCGGCTGAGTCGACCAAAGAAGGAGCTCAGATAGCCTCAGAGAAAGCGGTTGGAGCAAAGGATGCAACCGTCGAGAAGGCTAGAGATACCGCTGATTATACGGCGGACAAGATGGGTGAGTATAAAGACTATACGGTTGATAAAGCTAAAGAGGCTAAGGACAAGACTGCAGAGAAGGCAAAGGAGACCGCAAGTTATACAGCGGATAAGGCGGTGGAAGCAAAGGACAAGACGGCGGAGAAGATGGGTGAATATAAGGACTATGCGGTGGATAAGGCAGTAGAAGCGAAGGATAAGACAGCGGAGACTGCGAATTATACGGCGGATAAGGCTAAAGAGGCCAAGGACAAGACCACTGAGAAGATGGGTGAGTATAAGGATTACACGGTGGACAAGGCCGTGGAAGCTAAGGACTACACGGCAGCGAAGGCTATTGAAGCAAAGGATAAGACAGCGGAGAAGACCGGAGAGTATAAGGATTATACAGTGGAGAAGGCGACTGAGGGAAAAGATGTTGGGGTGAGTAAGCTTGGAGAGTTGAAGGATAGTGCAGTGGAAACAGCGAAGAGAGCTATGGGTTTCTTGTCTGGGAAGACAGAGGAGGCCAAAGAAAAAGCTGTGGAGACCAAAGACACTGCCAAGGTATAGTTTCTTGAAAGGTTATTTTAATGTAAATGAAGAGTATATATGGTTGATATAACATGGTTGTTTGATAACATAGGAAAACATTGAGAAAGCTGGAGAAGTAACAAGACAGAAGATGGAGGAAATGAGATTGGAAGGTAAAGAACTCAAAGACGAAGCTGGAGCAAAGGCCCACGAGGCATCTCAAAAGACTAGGGAGAGTACTGAATCGGCTGCTGAAAAAGCCCAGGAGACCAAAGATTCTGCTGCTGTTAGGTAAATTAAGAAATGCCAATTTTGTTATATCTTGTCATGTTCTTCAAGTTCGAGGGTAACGGTTTAAATTAACTAGTTTGTTTTTTGATGTGATAGGGGCAACGAAGCAAAGGGGACTATACTTGGGACATTAGGGAATGTAACGGAAGCCATAAAGAGCAAACTGACGATGCCATCAGACATTGTGGAGGAGACACGCGCGGCACGTGAGCATGGAGGGACGGGTAGGACGGTGGTTGAAGTCAAGGTCGAAGATACAAAGCCGGGTAAGGTGGCGACTTCACTGAAAGCGTCGGATCAAATGACCGGTCAAACATTCAACGATGGTGGACGGATGGATGATGGCGCTCGGAAAGATAAGGGAAAGCTGTGAGATACTAGAAAATGACATGTTTTTTGGGTCTTTGTTATGTATGGATGGATATGTCTGTTGTAGCAGATATACATTTTCAAGATAATTTCTAATTCCCGTGTTTGTATTCTTATTTTGGAAAAGAGAAGCTTTCTATTTATGCTTATTATGCATCTTTTTTAATACTAGTTTCTTATAAAAAAATTGTGACTTAAAAATCATGGAAGCAAATTCTCGTGGCTTTTAGAAGATTGGTTGCTATGCTAAATCACTCGAGTAAAAACTCTGTTTTTCAGGTACTAGTGGGTTCTATAAGTTTGAGCTACCAAGACTATATTTTTCTAAAGTTCTTTTTTTTGATTAATTTGAAGTATTTTTTTTGGTAACCAAATATTATATGACCTTGTTTTGGTAATACCAATTGTGAGGAAAAATATTTTTTGTGTGTTTTTTGTTGTCCACATTTGTAATATACTGACACCAAAAGTGGTCGGCGCATTGTATTTATGGAAGCCTAAAAATACTCGACTAACGTAATTATGTGCTTTGATATCAGACTATGTGAGATATTCCTATGGCTCCGGCGAATTACGATCACTGATTTGTTGATTGCCGTTACTTTTTTTTTTTTTTTTTTTTTTTTACAGCAATTGCCGTTCTTATATAAGAAGACACATTGGAAACAATAAATAAAAAGGTTGTCGTGTTCATGGAGGAGTCCAACCACCACATGGGTTCGATTAGCCTCTCCTTGCATATCTTGTGGATCAAATTCTCCAAATCACTTACATCGGGCTTGTTTGTTTCTTGTCTATATGACTGTATGCCATTTTTAGTTTTCCAACTTACTAATTAGCTCTAGTTCAATTTTACATATTTCATTAATAATGTTATTAAATCACAAAACAACATGAGTTTTGTTCTAGCCTACGCGCCATCTTTACTTTTGCAACCTAGAAAGTTCTGATAAAATTTTATACATTTGGCATTAAATAATGTTAGGAAATCACAAAACAACTTGAGTTTTATATCAAGCCAGGGAGATTAATACTCCCTTTGTTTCAAAATACATAAGAAGTTTAAGGTAAATGCACACATATTTAGGTTATTTATTTTTTTTTAAAAACATCATTTATATTTAGTTAAAAAAAATTCAACCAATACTGCAAAATATAAATAGTCATAAGTGATCAAATGCATTTAAATTAACATTGAAACTTGTAAAACATCTTATGATATGAAACAAAATAAAATTCCTAAAACATCTAATATAATGAAACAGAGGGAGTAGCATTTGTTTATTCACTAGTTTCAGTTGTTTAATGGAATTAAACATTCATAATAGTTGAAGAGAAAACTGAGTAACAGACGAAGAAGATGATGAATAATTCTGTTATTTCTCTTAAGTGTTGATTACAATGTGAGACTCTATTTATAGTGGAGTGTTCCGGTTATCACACATGATTTCCCGGTTTACACTAACCATTCTACTATACCAATAGCCTCCCTCAAGATGAGACGTAAATCGAAAGAAGACTCATCTTGCTCAAAAGAGAGTTGAACAAAGCAGGGAACAAAGGTTTTGTTAAAATATCTGCAAGCTGAGTAGTCGTTGTGACATGCAGCGTCTTCAATAAACCTTGTTCAATGCGATCTCTGGTAATGTGGCAATCGTTTTCAATGTGCTTCGTTCTTTCATGAAAAACAGAGTTGTTAGCTATATGTATAGCAGCTGTTGAGTCACAAAACATAGGCACTGGTTTTGTACGATGAATCTGGAATTCTGCAACCAATTTATCCAACCAAGCAATCTCCTTACTCGCCATGGCCATTGCTCTGTATTCCGATTCAGCTGAAGAAGCAGAGGCCATGTCCTGTTTCTTTGACTTCCAGGAAACGAGAGAATCACCCAGAAACATACAGTAACCAGAAGTGGACCTCCTAGAATCAATACAAGAACCCCAGTCTGCATCAGTGTATGCTATTAAACATAAATCTGACTTAAATGAATAGAATAATCCCAAACCAGCAGTTCCTTTGAGGTAATGAACCACTTTGTAGGCTGCATTAAGATGAGACTTCTTAGGAGATGAAGAGAATTGACATAGCTTATTCACAGCATATGTAATATCAGACATAGTGATGGTAAGGTACATCAACTTGCCAACCAAACGCCTGTAAACTTCTGGATTCTCCAACTCAGGTTCATTGTTGTGTTGCGTCAACTTAATGCTAGGTTCCATTGGTATTGAAGACGGTCTACAGCCTAACAAACCAGTTTCTTCTAAGAGTTCCAATGTGTACTTCCTCTGACACACTGAAATACCTTCCTCAGATCTAGCAATTTCCAAGCCTAAGAAATACTTCAAAGGACCTAAATCCCTGAGCTTAAAAGCTTGTGCCAAATCTTTCTTTAACTGATCTATAACTTCTTCATTATTCCCAGCAATAACAATATCATCTACATACACTAAAAGTGCAGTGAAGACATTACCAGTTTTGCGAGTGAAGAGTGTATGATCCGCTTGAGACTTCTTGAACCCAAGGTTCATCAAAGTTGTGCTAAACTTCAGGTACCACTGTCGGGACGCATGTTTTAATCCATACAAGGATTTTTCCAGTTTAAGCACAGCATTGTCAGGTAAACAGCCTCTCTTTCTTGGTGAATATCCTGGAGGTAGACTCATGTAAATCTCCTCTTCTAAATCCCCATTCAAGAAAGCATTTGAAATGTCTAGTTGATGAAGACTCCAATTCCTTGCAGCTGAAACAGAAAGTAAGACTTTCACTGTTGTCATTTTTTGCCACTGGTGAAAAAGTGTCTCCATAGTCTAAACCTTCCTTTTGTGTGTATCCTTTAGCCACTAAACGAGCTTTGAACCGTTCTAAGCTGCCATCTGCATTAAGCTTAACCTTGAAGACCCATTTGCATCCAATGGGCTTCTTTCCATCAGGTAAACTGCAGACAGTCCATGTATTTGTTTCTTCTAAAGCATCAATCTCTATTTCCATTGCATCTAACCATTCTTTTATTTTCTTGGCTTGAGCATAGGTCACTGGTTCTGGATACTTGTTAACAGCGCAAATATAAGCTGTAAACTCCTTTGATAACTGAGCATAGTTAATATATGCTGAAATAGGATACCTGACATCTTTTGTTAAGTCGGGTACTGCATTGCAATGATAATCCTGAAGATATCCTGGTGGTCGGCTTTCTCTTTTTGAAGCTGTTGTGGTAGGGATAGAATCTGTTGAAATCTCATCATCATTTGAAACTGCATCAGGTACTAATACTGAATCATCAGAACCGGATTCACCAATATTAAAAGCATCAGTCACTTCCTTTGTGTTAGCAAAAGGGAAGACTGTTTCAAAAAACACAACATGTCGAGAGATGTGAATCGTATTTGTCTCCATATCCAACAACTTATAGCCTTTATATCCCGCAGGATAACCCAAGAAAACGCATGCCTTGGCTCTTGGTTCGAATTTGTGTCTTTGGTGAGGACTAGTCGATTGATAACATAAACAGCCAAAGACTTTGAGTTGTGTATAATCAGGTACCTTGGAGTGAAGCAATGCAAAGGGAGTTTTCTGTGAAAGCAGAGGAGAAGGCAAACGATTGATCAAGAAGACTGCAGACAATATGCAATCACCCCAGAATTCCAGTGGGATAGAAGACTGAAACATGAGTGCTCTTGCCACATTCAAAATGTGTTGATTCTTCCTCTCTACTACAGAGTTTTGTTGAGGTGTTTCTGGACAAGAATGATAAGAAACAATGCCTTTTTCCTTGAAAAGCTTCTCAAACTTCAATTCAAGAGCATTGTCTGATCTCACTGCTTTTACACAAGTCTGAAACTGAGTTATAACCATTTGAATGAATTCTGGAAAAATAGTTAAGACTTCATTCTTTGTCTTCATCAGAAAAACCCAAGTGGCACGACTGTAATCATCAACAATCGTCAGAAAATATCTGTAACCTTCGACAGTAGGAGTGGCAAAAGGTCCCCAAGTATCAATGTGGACAAGATCAAAGATATGAGAAGACATATTGTTCTTGGATGGAAAAGATAAGTGTTTCTGTTTAGCTTCCTGACAAATTGAGCAATGAACAATCTCATCTTTATTCCTTTTATTTATTCCAAGAACATTATGTAATACATCAATCCTTTCATATGATGGATGTCCTAAGCGACTATGCCATAAGGCACTATCAACAACAACTGAAACTTGAGGAGAGTCATTCATACTATTCAAACTAGTACATTCAGCAGAACTAGTATCAAGAACATATAGGCCTCCAATCTCTTTAATAAAACGATTGAAACTTGATGTATTTTGTTTTCACGAATACAGATGATTTCGGAAATTTAGAAAAACGATTTTGGTTGATCACCCCATCAAAGATTCCTGAGCTGGTTACAAAGATTTAATAAGTACTACTTTGCTTAAATTTCCATAGAAAGAAAAGCTAAGGGGTTGTGAAATTTGTGTGGTGGGGTTTAGTAAAATTTGTATGGTCTGGAGGATCTATATACGTCTCTAGTGACGGTGATATTTCTTTTATAAAATTGACATATATACAAAGTTTTTTTGGAACCATAAAATTATTTTGTTGTCGTCTGGTCCACTGGTGACCCCTATTTTAACTCTACAAAGGACGCGACAAGAACTCTACAAAGGATACGTCGAATCCAGAGGTGGAACCACTCTCCTAAAGGCTTTCATCAAAGTATATATACGAAATTTAAAGAACATGAAATACAAATTGTCTTTCTCCAATATAATCATTTGCAGTTTCAACGTATATGATACGACAATTATATGGCTTACACAGCCTACACGTACGCATCTATATACGTTGCTGATTAAGATGGTTTGGCAATTGACCTAGTTCAAAACCCTAATAGTTTATTATATTTAATTGTTTTGTGATCTTGCTATGGTATTTTGTAAAGTTCGCACATTAATAATCACTATGACATAACTCATAGTTAGTAGAACTTAATTACATTTATTTGTGGTTGGTATAATGACTAATGAGCACTAGATGTTATGCTTCTCGCTAGAGCTTCTTTTTATTTTTGGCGGCTGCTAGAGATTTTTTCAAACTATTTTTTTTAATTGATACCATAAAATAGACAATTATCTACTT